GTCCTTCTAGACATAGGGTCTATAGAGATCTATCAAACCAAGCAAAAGTGCTTGTCAATCGGTATAAGGATCGATTAAGACCATGTAGATAAAGGGTATAGAAGTGATTATATAAAAGCGATGGGGGAAAAATATAAATATTTTCCCGTCAACAACTAATTTTTCACCTTCCTCCAGAGCTATATGGTATAGTAGATTCTGATAAGACTCTGCCCACATTTGGTTGATTTTCTTAAACCTGAAAACCTTGAAAACCCAACAAATATGGGCTTTTCCAATGCATTTTGTGACAATCACAACCTGAATTATGATCAGAATCTGAAAAGATGATATAGTATTCGGAATAATATTACCATATTAAATGTGTGCACACTATTATACAGTAGGTGTTACATACACAGAGCCTCTGTGGACCAATAATTGAGGCATAAAATATGTGTTTAGTTGAAACAAAAAGAAGCATAACAAAATTTATAGTTTCCGGCTTTGCAGATAAACTCATAATTTTGTTAGTTCTTTGTTTTTGTTCATTTTTTGTGTCGCGGCCTTTGCGTTTTCATTTCGCTTTTCAACTTAATTAAGAAATCCAATTAACATCATTGGCATTAGATGTTCCAGAATATGCGCAATTTGTTTTGTTTTATGTTGGCCACATTTACACACGCACGCTGGCCTGTGTGTGCGTCTGTGTGTGTGTGTGAGTGTATTGCGGCTTTTGGCTTTTCTGCATATGTAAAGCAGGAGCAGTAGCAGGATCTGTGTCGCCTTTGCTGCCATTGATAACGCCTTTCCGTTTGTCATTGCGTGCGGCCCAATACGTGTAAGTGTGCGTGTGTCTCTCTCTCTCTCTCTCTGTGTGTGTGTGTGTGTGTGTGTGTGTGTAAGACACGCAAAGTTCAAAACATTAACAGCAATGACAAACAACTCAGCAGCAACGGCAGCTGCTTTTCCTGTTTGCCCATTCAATTTATATGTTGTTGTTGCTATGGGCGTGGCAATGATAGAAACTCAGCAAACAGACAACACACACACACACACACACACACACACACACACACACACACACACACACACACATACACACACTCACTCACTCATGCATGCATAGCCACCTGATCAGCTCTGTGCTTGCCTTAAGCGCGCCCATCGCTAATCACAGCAGCAACAACAACAAACAACAAACAACAGCAACAACAACAACAAAAACAAGCGCCTAAGCCTGTCACAGCATTGAGCTTCGAGCTTTACTCTGCCATTCCAACTCAACTCAACTGAGCTTAACTCATCGCACAGCCAAAGTCAACGTCAAACTTGGCACAGCTTTGCCTGCAGCTCTCTCGTTCTCTGTCTCTCTCGGACTCTCTCTCTCTCTCTCTCTCTCTCTCACTCTCTCTTGCGCTGTTATTACCATAAACAGCAACAAACAAACAGCAGCCTGCACATTAAAGAAAATCTACTTAGCATTAAACCAATTCTACTTAGTTAGTAGAAGGTCGCTGGCTCGCAGGACGGGGCTGCGGGGCACGGCTTTTGTGAACGTTTTCATTAGAGCGTACAAAATGCGAAAGCCAAACTGATTAAGGCCTCAATTGAAAGACAGCATTTGCCACACTCATATGCACAAGAGCGGGACGAAAGAGTATAAGTACACACGCGCACACACAGACATACCTGCTTATGTGTTAATGCGTGTGCGTGTGCGTGTGCGTCTGCGTGTGTGTGTGTGTGCTGATTAGAGATGTGCAAGAGCGAGACATTCAACGCTCGAGCAAACTCAGGCTCAGACTCAAAAGCACGAAAAAATAAATGCACCGAAATAATCAAAAAAAGGAAACTGCAACAAATATCGTGTCAACATTCAAATATCGCAGCTTATCTAGAGAAAGCCACCAAAATTAAAAGAAACCAATTGAAATAACACTTTCACGCCTAGAAATCCAACAAACTGTCTGTCACGTACAGACACACATGTGGCTAATGTCCGGCAAACGTATATTTTTAGAAATCAGCGTTAAATATACTTTTTTGAGTAACATGCTTTGCTTTAAGGAGTTGTCAATATAGGCCTGGGACCTGGGGGCTATCAAGTCAAATCAAGTCACGATACGTGAGCGCTCACAAATGAATCACGCGCCCATCTCGAATGCAGATGAACTGTAACAGTTAGAGAGACAAATAAGCAGAAAGTAAAAGGCGACGACTAAAGAGCGTGTGGCAAAGCTCAAGCATCAACACACAGGCACGTAACGGGTTTCGCTGCGTTGTGAGGTTATGGTTAGATTTTATAAACAAATATTTGGATTTAACGGCATTGCGACGCGTCCGCCGATGTGGGCGCGCATTATGCTTAATTTAAAGAAAATTTTTAGTACTCGTTTTTAGGCACTACGCATATGTGTGCGTATGTGTGTGTGTGTGTAGCTTGTCGCTCACTTAGTTACAGTTAAACTAGCACTCGCTGCCAGCTCGTGCTTATGCCGAAATAAAAATATATAAGAAAATAAAAAGAACGAACGGAACAAAATAAAAAGCAAAACGAGAAAACCGCACCCAAGTTGAGATTACTTATCTTTAGTTTTCATTTAAATATGAAGAGCCAAGTGCTGTTACGCTGTGTGTGTGTGCGTGTGTGTGCGCGTGTGTGTGCGTGTGTGTGTGCGCGCTGTACTTTCATTTATTTGGCTGCTTTTGGTTTCCTTTCGACTTTTACTTTATGGTTTTTTATTTTCTCTCTCTTTTTTTATATTTTTTATTTTAGCGCTTTAGCGTTTTTCCTTTGCACACAGAAATTCTTTACATACTTCGTGGTATTTTTGTGCCAAGCCTCCCGCACACGCCCCTTTTGCGCAGCGACCACGCCCATGCCTCCACAGAGCAGCGCACTTGTGCGCCTTTTATGTGCCGCTCAGTATTTTAGTATTTTCTGATTTAGTAAAGGACAAGCAACACACACACACACACACACACACACACGTGCCAAACACACATGTTATGGCCGTAGTAAATGCTGTGTGTGCATGTATTTGCGCTTTCAATTCCGGTTTCATTTCAAGTTAGTTGGGCAGCCAAATAATTGAATTTAGAGAGCCGCAGATGGACAAGAAAACCAGATGACATTATACACTTACATGTGCACATACATCTACACATGAATATACAAATGTGTGTGTGTGTGTGTGCGTGTGTGTGTGTGTGATGACGTCACTTTCCGTTTGCCCTCTTGAGCCCGACATGCGTCAAAACAAGCAGCGACAGCAGCTTCCCATGTTAAGCCATGTGTCTGCTCACTGTGGGCGTGGTTCACATGGTGTTTACGAGGAGGGCGGGCGATAGGAAGGATGGGGGGGAGCTGAGTTATGAGATTGTGGTTGATAAAAAGGATTAGAGCCTCGATTCTGATGCTGTTTCCAGCTGCTGCCGCCGCTGCTCCCGCTGTGGCTTCAATTGAGCCAATTATGATGACTGAATCAAATGCAAATGTATGGGTAAATGGGTGCATGGGTGTGTGTTTGTGTGTGTGTGTGTGTGTGTCTGTTTGAAAATGTGTTTGAAGTTGTGTAACTAATAGACAGCTGAGCTATATCATATACAAGCTTTCATGTCAATTTGCATTACTTCTTCAGTTCAAACTACACTGCCCAAGGCGGAAGAAGAAGAAGAAGACACGTGAAAGCCAAATCTTTGCCAAAAAAAAAAAAATAAATCCTTTCATTCGCTAAAAATGCTGGGTGAAAAGCTTGAACTCTGGTACAGTTGACAACAAGCAGAAAATGTATATATTCCAGAAGATTTGGGTTAAAGACTGTTAAACAAGGTAGAGCTGATATGTAAGAGCCACACTTTTACTAGCTGCAGTATTTCTAGTATTTTTATGAGTCTAAATAGGTAAAACAAAAAGCAATGGCTGGTCAAGCGCTTAATGTGATCAAGCAGAGCCTTGAATAAGCACAACATATTACCTGAATTAAGCATTCCAGCAAAAGTCGACTTAGTAGAAATTTTATATATAAATAATGTTTTTAGGTTAGTGACGTCACATCATCAATGGCGTAGACGGTCACTCTGGCAGCAATTTCCATGGCTGTTAAAGATTATGTTAAGCATTGGTGTTAATAAGGATCAGTCTGTGACAAGCGTTCAACAAATAACGAACTTTTAGACCTTGGAAAGAATACATAGACATACATATAAGTAATTTAATGAATTTACCAAATCATCCTCCTCCAAATCTCAGCAACTAGAGCTCGAGCAGGAGCTTGTTGAAGGGATCACGGAGGAAGGACTCGCTCCGACATAGAAGACCTAAAGAAAGAGGTGTATCAAGAGTCTAGCTTGAAGCCTGAGAGACTTTATACCAAAGGAAGCAAAGCGGAATGTCAGCTTTTGTTAAAGCTAACATTTTGATGCTTTTTTACAGCCTATATTCTTCTGCTAATATCATAACATGAATTCATCTTCTATATTCAAAGCTATCTGCAATTGTGGCTGGCATTTAATAGATTTAAGCAAGCTGCAAGCTAAAGTACATCTTTAGAAACTTATGCCTGACTTGCCCCAAATATGAGGGGTATCTGTATGTTATATAAGCCAGCTCTTAAACTTATATAAAGCTGAGTTTAAATACCCAACACACAGTTTTATTGCACCCAGCTAGCTTGTAAGTTTAGTTAACCACAGCTCACGTGTTATGCCTGATTCGTGATTTAATTAACTAAATACTTATATGATTGCATATGATAATGGTAATGTATGTTAGCTGATAAATTCACACGACTGTTTGGCCGTAGCACACACGCACCGACGCCTGAACAAAAAAAAAAAAAAAAAAAAAAAAAAATTCAATTAAAATAAAACACCTGCAACACACAGCTGCCCACTTAGTAAGATTTATTTCTTTCGTAACTCCCTTCAGAGATTAAACAAGCTCTAATCATTATCTCTCTTTCTCTCTCTCTCTCTCTCTCTCTTTCTTGCTACATATAAAAATGTAATTATTTTAGCTCCGCAAGCCAGCGTCGACACTTTCAATTCCTGGCTCGATGAAAACACCTTCCATTGCGAACCGGGAACAGATCTCATCTGGATGCAACGAAGAAGCGGCCGAGGCACTTGTGGGTATCCACTCAGACTACCCTAGGTATGAAATGTATGTATACCAATCGCCAAACCGTCTTATACCTATCCTACCCTATCCTACAATAAACATAACTAAACGTGCTCTAGTCGGCAGCATTCGACTAGCAGATACCCTGTGTCGTTAAAAGCATTCGAAATAGACACATACACACACTCACACACACAGCTCGCTCCACCTGGCCGCTATGCTCTTTTTTGCCGTTGCCCAATCCAGTGCTGAATAACTTCGGCGCTTATTATCCGATCCTGAAACGAATTTCAAAGCTCAAAATATGGCAACAAAATATGTGTATATATATGTCAAAGCACAAGGCTTCATATGTAAGTTTGCATTTTTGTCCCCATCTTAGATAGATGAACTATTCTTATTATTCTGCATATGCTAAGCGGGAGCCTATATACCAAGTGTGGTGTATCTAGCTATGATATTTTTCGGGGTAACCTTAAAAAGCCAAGTTTCAAGATCGATCAAGATCAAGGGGTATAAAAAGCGCATCTCCCTAAGCGTATTTAATCAATAAACAGCAGCTATCTATATGAGTCGCTTGTCTAAGCCACATTTCATTACCAATTCATGTGCTGACACCAAAGCCACACACACAGATAAACACACACACACACACACACACACACACACACACACACACAGACACACAATTTAGATAATGCCGTGGCTTTAGCTAGGCCCAAAAAGCGTGGAAAAAAATTTGACTAATTGCCATGGGCCATAATTAGCTGTCAGCGCCAGAAGGGCAGATTATAAATGTCATTACATAAGTATATCTATCCTTGAAGGATACCAAAATACACACACACACACGTGCACGCACACACAGAGAGAGAGACAGAGCCACAAAACTAATCCTCAACAAATCTCAAAGTTAATATACATAAAGTTTTGCAACCTGCAAACTCGTCACAGGCGCTTAGTTTTTCCGTTTGGGATATGAAATCAAGTCCTATTGAGCTTTTGATGACCATTCAATTTGTTATTATGTATTAGGAAGTCAATATGGCTAAGGGAAATACGTATACGTATTGTGTGTGCAGTACAATGCATAAATAAATCTCTTTTAAATGCCTTCAAAGTACAACAATTTTGCAATATTACGTTCAATTTGGCAGAGTTCAGCATGCCGATACCCTCTAAATCGTACAGGGCATGCAGCTGGGCATATTTGCTTGTAAGCTGCAGTGTGCAGAGAGGCGTATGAAGCTTTTATTTATTATAAGCTACAGAACAGGCTTCTTCGTGTGTGTGTGTGTGTGTGTGTGTGTGTGTGTGCTTCCAACTGATGAACTATGCAATACCCTGCATTTGGCTATTTAAGAACTATTGCTCTGATGCTTGGCACAGTTTTACGAAGATCGTTTCATGGGATTGGCTACGGAAACTGGCCTGGAATTTCTGAGATATTTTGCGAGTTATTAATCGTAGATATATACCTTCTATTTTTGGCATTTCTATAACTATAAGGGTAACTCAATTTTTAATTCATTTAATAAGAAACGAGAAACGAATAGCAACGCTTAGCTTAGATACCTTAGCACTGAGTACAGGGTATATTCTCGACTAGACCACTCATCTAACTGAGCTACATTATAGTAAATATGAGGGGGTGAAATTCTGTCGCTGCTTTCAGTTCTCAGCCAAATTTGCCTGCACACGTGTGTGTGATTTTGTATCTGTGTGTGCTTCATATCTTTCGGATACACAAATTGATGTGACACAAATTTTCATGAGACAGCAGCCAACAGCAACAACAAAAAACAAAGAAGAAAACAAACCTGTCATCCATTAGTTAAAGATTCATTAAGCAAATGCCTTCAGATACATTTCGCCATAGATGGCATATCTGTCATGGTCTGTAGTTATCAAGTTGTTGGTTAGTTCTTAGCAGATATATGAAGAGTGAGGGTGTGTGTCTGGGCAGAGGAGCGTCATGGTTTATCAATTAACATTAAGCACACGACCCATTTTACTATTTGCAGGTATATGGAAGAACGTGCGCTTACTGGCGGCAATACGTCCAGGAAGCCATCAACCAACTCGGCCAAACACAAACCCAATGTGGGCTATCGCCTGGGCAAGAGAAAAGCTTTATTCGAGAAGCGTAAACGCATTAGCGACTATGCCCTTGTCATGGGCATGTTCGGGATCATCGTGATGGTGATTGAAAACGAACTGAGCAGTGCCGGCGTCTACACAAAGGTAAGTTATTAACGTGTGCCAATTACCAATGACGAGTGAAATTATATTAACGCAACGAATCATTACTCGCTGCTAACGATTATTGATGAGCGCCACATACTAATGAAGAACGACATTATATTAACGGCTGATGTTTAATGTGAAATGAGTTTAATACCAATTGAATTGAACTAACCACTCGTTACTAATTAATAAGCGAGTAAAATATAACTAGTGACATGAATCATTGCTCGCTGTTAACGATTATCGGGCTACTTACTAATGAGAAGGAACATAATGTAAACGACTGATATTTAAGCTGAAATGAGTTTAATAACGCTTTATTTGAACTAACCACTCGTTACTAATTAATTGGCGAGTAAAATATAACGAGTAAAATGAATCCATGCTCGCTGCTAACGATTATTGATGAAATAAAATAATCGTACTCGTTAATAGCTAGAAATGACGAGTGCTCATTATCAATGAAATAGTGTATTTATCACTCCGACTCGCTGTTTATTAATTGATCATTTTTATTCTCGTTGCAGGCATCGTTTTACTCGACAGCGTTAAAAACCTTAATATCTGTTTCGACTGTGATTCTCTTAGGACTTATAGTAGCTTACCATGCTTTGGAAGTGCAGGTGAGAGTGAGTGCAAATTGTATCTTCTCTTGCAGATGTTATTGATGGTCGTCATCGTTATTGTTTAACGTTGCCATCGTTTTACCCGCTCACTGTTATGACCCCCGCTCCCGTAACCTCCTCATCGTAAAGCATCCCAAAAAAAAAAAAAAAGAATACCAAAACCCAAATCCTAAGAAAAAAGAAAGAAAATAAACTCCAGCCCACCATACCCCTCATTCAACCAGTTCCAGCGTAGAGACCCCACACCTCATTGCAGTTTGTTTGTTGTAAACTTTTGTGTGTTCTTTGTCTGTTCTTAAAAAAAAAAAACCACATGACTTGCCCGTAGCTACAGAGAGAATGCCTGAATTGAACAGAGTATTGCACTTTGCATTTAACGCCTTGCTGCGTCTATCGTAGTTGTTATCGTTATCGTTATCGCTAGCATGCATGCGGCTAGCGAAACCGAACGAAACTGTATCCACAAAGTGCAAAACTTTGTTTACGTTTATTAAATTAAATTCTTTGAATGTGTGTTCTTGCATTATTTACGAAAAACGCGAATTTCGAGTGCTTTCTATATAATTCCATTCCGTCATTCCGTGTGTCCCAACTAAAAGGGGGGGTGAGGCGATTAGAGGGAGAAAGAGACAGAGAAAGAGAGACAGAGCTTCAACTCAATATATTTATTTGAACCTGTGCTCTTCGCATTACCATATTTACTCAGCTAAACAGAAACAAACAGCAGCCACATCATCAGATCATGGAACTTCAAGCATATTGTAAATACAAACATAAGCCAGCTCATTCCCCGAATTCCCTTCCGTCCTCCAGTAATTTCACCACCGCCCTCCACGCGTCTATCGATGGTTAGGCTTTGATAGTGAGAGTTAACAGTCGCCATTTCTCTGGCGAAACAGGCCAAACCTGAAGTTGAATACTTATTTATAATTGGGTTAACATTCAGTCACATATAATTATAACATTTATGCGCTTTTAATACCAGTTGCATGTACAGCACTATAATTTATTTGTTTAACTACAACAACAACTAAAACCGAGCTAACTGCCGAACTAAAATAAAAAAAAAAAAAAACCCTACCCAAACCACATTCAATTTCCACCCTCCAATTGCCACAGCCACTGTGTTTATAATTTAGCAAAAAGAAATAAAAAAGAAAAAATGAAAAAAACACAAGTATTTAAGTTTTCGCATGAGTAATGGTAATATATATAATTTCCAACCAGAAACCAAGCAAAACATTAAGAAACAAGAGCATGGAAGAGTTATTTATTTATTTGTTATTTCTTATTTATATAACAATTTCAATGTGCATATGAAAACATAATAACATAATAAACAATTGAACAAAACATCACGGTACATTGCACACAATATACTCGTAATTTCTCCAATAATAATACAAATTCCAATCAAATCAATAAAGTTCTTGACAACCAAAATCTATAACTTATCAAAGGCAAATCGAATGCTCTGCTTGAAAGCGTCTCTTTCAAGACTGTCAAAACTCAGGTTGTGCTCTTTCATTCGAGGCACATACCATACGAGAAAGTCCTGTGAGTCCTGTGAATTTTTGATCAAAAGTTAGCAAAAACTAGAAGAACCACCGCTCAATCTATTGAAAAAGAAAAGTAATAAAATGAAAAGAGATTCTCAGAACTACATCATTTTCCTGCCATTTTTCGTTCATAATTCAGACATAACTTGAATGTTCAATCATCCAGATGCAAGAACCAATATCAGTCAATCAATCAATCAGTCAGTCAGTCAGCTAATCAAACTCAGTTATATATACAATAAATACAATATATTTATGTACATATACATATATTTATATACATATATACATATAACCATATATATATATATATATAAATATATAAATATATATCAGTTCAACATCTTCGTCGTCTTTCATATTCGTTATCTTCATACTTTGTTCTCGACTATATAAATCCGATTAAATGTTAATGCCCCTTAACCCCCCACCCCCAAACCCCCTTCATTTTTTTTAATGTTGATGTTTAAAGTAAAATTTTAATATGTAATTACCTTCCAATTATGCTTTGCAGAATTCAGTAAGTAATACTTATAATATACATCATAAATATTTGTGAGTAATTCCTACATGCATAGTGTTATGTACCCCATACATACTATATATGGTTAACAATACCAAACAACATTCAACATATAGAGTAGCTTGACAACAACAAATACAAATACAACAGCAACAACAACAACAACAACAACAAATACGCCACACAAACTGAACTTAACATCGATATATACAATTATATGTACCATGTACCCAATACTTGTATGTATATGTATATATATGTAAAACAAAAAAAAAAAAACAAAAAAAAAATCAAAAAAAAACAGAAAAGAAACGAGTTTAAAGCGTACTTGACTATACAAAGTACATAACACAATGTCTATGTATTAATGCATGCCTATTGATTCCAAGCTGTTTCCAATATTTATGGTGACAACCATCCAAAACAATGTGTCTGTGTGTGTGTGTGCATGCATGTGCTGGAAAACTATCGCTTATTATTTATAAATATATACATATATAAATAGATACATATATGTTTTTAATGAAACACTCGTTTCAAGACACGTCTTGATACAGCGCAGCCAAGTTAACAATGCCTGCGAGTTGCCACATCGGTCGTCTAATGATGTAGCCAATATGCCGTGAATACGCTGCGCTTGAACGGATATAATGGGAGCCCCGCAAACAATATAAATCGTTAAGTTTTTGGCATTAACGATGTATGTATTAATATTTAAACATCAAATGAGCTTGATTTATAGTTTGGATCGTTGTTTAATTTTCAATAACACAACAATTTCCACTACAGCCCTAATGAAATACAAAAATCAAACAAGGTGGCAGCCTCGCCTCGCCAAAACGATAAATCACGCCCAACCCCAGCGGATGTTTATCAAGTTGGCTCGTTCTGACAAATGGCAAAAAACAACGAATGTTCGAAAAAGGGCATTGCTATCAAACGTCTCAAAATGCTGCACGAGCTTTTAATGTTATTGAAAGATTTACAATCCCAACAGACAACAAATAAAATCCTTTTACGTTATCGATAATATCTGCGATACATTTCGATTAATTGCGCCCATTAAAATGAAGTAGATTTATTTTACCGATAAATGTAGAGAAAGCTTTAGAGTGCAATCTGAAATAAAACCCATTAATGCTATCGATAATAGAATAGCCAACTACTGAAATAAAATCGAATAATGTAAACGATAACAGCACCGATAGCTTCATCAATAAGAGCTATCAATGTTATCGATAAACGCGGCGACCTCCAAAATAATCTGTCAATATTATCGATACTTATAGCAATATCTGTATACCCACCATCTGAAATAAGATCCACTATTCTTATCGATAAATGTATCAATATGATCGATAGTAGCAGCGAAAGCTTTCCAGTGTCAGCATCCTATACAATGTTATCGACAATTGCAGTTACGCCATCTAAAATGCAAGCTATCGAAATTAACGGTAGCTGCAGCTATAGCTTTCCAGTGTCACCAGCCTACAAAAAATCCAATAACGTTTCCTATAACAGGAACCATAGTCTTTCAGCCCCACCATCTGAATTAAAATCCACACATGTTATCGACAACAGTAGCCATAGCTTGCCAGTGCCAACAACGCTTAGTAAGAGCTATCGAAGCTATCCAACAAACAGTCTGACCATCTCAATTAAAATTTACACATTTTTTCGAAAACAGCAGTCGTAGCTTTCCAGTGCCAACAATTGCACACACACACACACACACACACCCACACACACACACAATCAAAATGGCGGCTCACGAGCTCGCAGCTGTAAAGGAAACAATGGCAATTGGCTGCTAGCCAAAAGGAGCTGATCAAGCAGCACCGCCAACGAAAGAGAACAAACAACAGCAACAATAACAACAGACAAGAACGTGGCTTAGCTTGCACCAGAAGCAAACAACCAATCACCGATTCACCAATTGCATTTCAGGGAGTCCTATGTGTAGTGCTAGTCCATGTCCGGCAACAACAACAACTGCCTATTTGCTTAGAGCAACTGCATATGCATATATACATATATATGTGTGTCAAATGGAAGACATAACACAACACACACACATAACACACAGACACACTCACACAGACACACTCACACAGACACACTCACACACAGAGATAGAAAGAAAGAGAGAGAGAGAGAAAGAGACGCACACATATACACACAGCTACACATATGAGCATTCCCATTGATAAGTCGATTCGGATTAAGCATCAATCATTAAATCACCAAGATTCGAACGGTGTTTCGATTTGCCAGATAAACACGAAAATAATTCACAGGACTTTGTCAGAACAGTTAAAACAATTTAAGAAAAAAGAAACAAGAAAATCTGCATTTCAAATCGATACATACATTATACAACTTCTCGATATATACTTATATATATATATATATATATGTATATACATATATATACTATACTGAATGAAGCAATTGTTTATCGATTAATCGGCTTAACTTGCGAATGACTCATATACCCATTATACTCTACTCTACTCTAACAATACTCGTAGCTATCGTAATCGTATCGTGTCTACTCAGTTCTGTACAACAGCAACAACATCAACAATACACGGCTTGTGTCAGCTAATACTACTTAAATAGCAATAAAAGTGTTTGCCCCGACCCTGCCCGACCCCCCCTTCACCCCAAATAAAAAGCTCCCCTCCGCCCACCCAGCCGACCCTCTAACCGCCACGCACGATATTCGCAACATTCGCAAATGTGATTCGTATACAATGTGAAGTAGTGAATAGTAGTGAATAGTATGCGTATATCTAACCAATTAGTATGTCGCTTTAAATGTTAGTTTTGTTCACGATTGTTGATCATGAGTATGCCAAACATGCTAATTCCAAAGATAATTGATGCACTTAATAAATAAAACAATAAACTCGTTTTGAATCATTTGATTCAAGCCCGTTTATCATTAATACGCTCAAATTAAAACTGTTTACTGGACTTTGGCAAATCGACGTCAGATGACAAATTTTACGAAATTTAGAAACTAATTTTCTAAAATTTTACATTTTAGAGCAACAAAAAACAAAAAAAAAAAAAAAAACGAAGAAAATTTTCTAAATTTGCGAAAATTTTGAATTTCCTGGCGATTTTTTAGAGTTGAGCGGTTAAAATTTGCTTGAGTGTGTGCTTATCAATATACTGCATTTATCTATTTATATATTTCAAAACTATATGCCCTCAATTTGGTTTAAATCACTAATAATTTGTTCCCAGGATAATAAAAAAACACATAAAAAATAAATCTAGAGTAGAAAACATCATCGAAATCGATTCAGTTTGGAGAGGTTTAGGGAACTTACAAGTTCAATTTTTACCAGAAAAAAACGAGTTGCAGCTTTGACGATCTATGAAGGTTTTGGATATGTAAAGTCTTCGAGGTGTGTGGAAACTTTGGATATAGCGATTAATTCAATGAGTCCCTAGCTTAATAAATTTGTATGTCTTAGCTGGATCTGACTAGAAAACTTCAAACGGAATTTCATTTAACTGAAACTGAAATCTTAAGCAACGTTAGAACTCTGGATTGCTACACTTTTTAGATAGCTGGGCAGCACTTTGACTTTGCCTTAACCACACTTTTGCTGTTAGGCAAGCGGCACTAGCGCCTTTAAAATGAAATGAAATTAGTCACCGTTATTAAAATCAAGTGCTCTTGAATATTATTTGCATATTGACAGCAGAGCACTTGACCTAATCGATTAGTGCAAGTTTCGCCCCCTTAAAGAGCATATAAAATATAATGTATTCCCCCGCCCCCGAACGCCACTCGCACCAAAACCAATTTGCCTCAGCTTAAGAGCTTAAGTGCAGCTGCACTCGATTTATCAAGAGACTCTCTCATCAGAGGCGAATTATGAGCCAAAGTAAACGATTTGGCTTAATTCCAAATTGATTAAAGCCAATTAAAAAGGTAAACAACAAATGCCAAATAAAAAAAAAAAAAAAAAAAAACGCAAAAAAAAAAAAAACAAAGAATATGTGCTAACAACACGAGAACACGCACGCCGCCTACCTAATCAGTAAGTACTTTGCACACACTCACACACATGCGCGTACACACACACATACACACACACACACGCACACAGGTGCACTAACGCATTCAACACATATTGGTAAATAAATGGCTTGTGTTAGCTAAGCACAAGTAGGCATCACCATCACGACCGATAAACCGATAAAACCGATAACCTCGCCATCGGTGCAGTCAACAATCGAAACGCAAAACGAAGTCACGAACGCAGCAGGCATTGGCATGAGAGGATAAAAAGGAGAAGATTGAAGAAGCAGCAGCAGCAACGGGAGCAGCTAAAACGTTGCTACTAGCAGGTTTTCAAATCGCTATCGCTATCGCTATCGTTATCGTTATCGCTATCGATACAAATGTTAGACCACAAACAAATCCAGGTTTCGCTTACACCTTTCCATTGCTATGCGCTTGAACAACAGAAAAAAAAAAACAAGCACACATACAGCAACGCCTGCACAACACACACACACACACACACAAACACACTAATACACACACCGATACACACACCGATACACACACTATTACACACACACCAACACACACGCACACTTAGCCATAGACATACGCATATGTACACCTCATTGACGTTGTACTTGTCGAATAATTCATGCTCGTATTTGGGTGTATTTTCATTTTGTTTAGTCGCAAATAACAAATCAATAAAATTCCAATTATATTTAATAATTAATTTTTTCTTTTTTCTCTATTTCTCTATTATTTTTTCTGTGCTCCTTCATGCCTATCCAACGAAAAACCGGAAACCTATCAACAAACATTCAAAATTAATAAAAAAAAATAAAAAAAACAAAAAAAAAACATCTCAACACCATGTCTGCGTCTCCAAAATCCATAAATTACTTAAATATATCAACAAATAGTTATTCATGATAGATAACTGCGCTGACGATTGGAGGATCGCAATGACATGGCAACGAATTAGTCAAATAGGTTTAGAACTTTTTATATGCGCTATACATCCAATTCCTGGTGAATACTATTTCCAGTGGACGACGAAATTGGCCAATAAAAATAAAACAATTGGCACTGAAATGGTGCCATACGACGTAGCTTTATCATTACCTATGTTCCTTCGATTATATTTAATCTGCCGCGTTATGCTGCTTCATTCAAAGCTATTCACAGACGCATCATCACGGAGCATCGGCGCTCTCAATAGGATTAATTTTAACACAAGGTAATCCCCAATAATCATTTCATTGATTTTACTACTACTACCACTAATAATACCAGCAGCGATGATATATTAAGAATAGAGCTGCGCCCTGCATAACATATGGAACAGTTCGCAACGAGCCTGAACTTATTTATTCAGCTTTTATATTACCTGTTTTGCTTCTTAGCTCGCTTCTCTCTTGTGTTGCTCGCAGTACTGTAAGTTGTCTGATTGGCGCGAGAAGCAAACGCTTAGCAATTTAAGGCAACAATTCATTTTACAAACTGCTCGCTGACTCATACATGCTTTTGGCTAGTGTTTCTCACATTGCTTCTTACTTTTATATTTCGGTGATTTTCCCAGTCATAGGTAATACGCTAAGCTGTCAGCAAATATCTAGCTTACCTATTTAAGGCAGCGTTAAATTATACTAGCTGCCTGCTAAATTTGACATGACTTTAGCTTTGCTTCTCACAATGCTTCTCGCTCTCATATTTGAGCTATTTTCCCTAGTTTCCTATTTAAAGCAGTAATTACCTGTCCAAGCTGCTCGCTAACTTTGCCAAGCCTTTGGCTGTTGCTTCTCGCTTACATATTTTAATTAATTTTAATTAAAATAATTAATTAATTTTTGGTGCGATAAGTAATGCTTAAGCCATCAGTGTCAGCGAGACAGGCATGCCAAGCAACTGGAGATGCTTCGTAATGAGCTCGGGCAGCAGGCCAAGCTTTGATGAGCTACTTGCTTTGCATCAAGTTGTCAAGCGCGTTTGGGAGAAGCGAGCGGATAAAGCAATCATAGTAGCCACACGAAGCAAAGGGAGAAGCCACAGTGTTGGACAATGAGCAAAGCGAAAGTAAAGCTATTTGCTTGCTTTTATTTTTAGAGTTTCGATTTTGCTACTCACTTTGCTTCTTCCTTTAAATGCTATGAAAGACAAGGCAAACGTTAATCAATCAATGCGAATTGCTCTTGCTTTCCACTTCGCTTCTCGCTTTCTTACTTCTTGCTTTGACAGTCTGACAGCTGTTTACGTCTCTTCAGCGCGTTGGCTTCTCTCTTGTTTTTATCTATGCTCTAATTTCTAAACAATTCTAATCACGCTTTTTCTCCCAAATAGATTTGTTTTGAAAACACTAATGACAATATGCCCGGGAACGGTTCTATTGGTCTTTATGGTCTCGCTGTGGATCATCGCATCCTGGACGCTGCGGCAATGCGAAAGGTAATGCAATTAACTTATAATAACAACTACAAATAACAAAATCAAAACTTATGATAGTAATTTATGTAGTAATTTATAATGTTGTTTCTTCAAATGATTTTTATGTTTCCGTTGTTCGAATCTTCAGTTAACTTAACTTTTCTTCAGAATACGTTTGTGTTTATTATTTCCATTAATTGTTCAGTTCAGTTTCGTTTATGCTCTGGAAACCCAATTTAATGTATGCCACTAATACTTTGACATTACTATATATAACTACATACACACGTATATATATATAGATATTTATATATATTTATTTATATATATATATATATATATATATACATATATATATGTGTGTACGCCTACCTATTAATACATATTCATGTACATAAATGTATGTGCTAAACAATACGTAATGTCTCAAAGTGTACGCTCAACTTTCCAACCTACACGTACTTTCGTAGCAAAACGCAACAAGAAAAGAAAACAACCTGTTCCGAAACGTAATAGATTTTTAAAAGAGTTTTTCACCCGCTTCAGTGTTGGGCAAGTAACCAAATAACTGTAACTCTTAAATACTTGTAACTGCATCTTTGAGAGTAAATGGATTTCCATAAGTTTTATTCAACTTGCATTCAAGGGGTTAAGCACAGCACAGCACACAAGCACACACACGAACACACGCACACACACACACACACACAAACATACACATGCACCATTCAGGCACTCAACCACCAAAACCACTCAACCATTTACTTAACCAATACGTGTTTTGTATCTTCCGTTAACTCTGGCATGTGTGCATGACCATGTGTGTGTGTGTGTGTGTGTGTGTGTGTGTGTCCCAAAGCAATTGTATGCCATTCACAAACACACACACACACACACACACACACACACACACACACGCGCGCACATGTGAGCTTGCGGTTGAGTGTCCGTGTCACGTGCTTAAAAGAGAAACAAAAAACAAGAATAATTTCTGCATGCGTTTCAATTTTATTTACATTTTTACATTATTCCAGCTAAAAAGAAATGTCGCTTGGTTTTCTCAATCTCTTCTACTGCTTCTTCTTCTTCTAATTCTTGTTCTTATGCCTTCATGTTTTGATTTTGAATGATATTTCGTACATTTTAGCCGGTTTGCTGCTGATTGCATTTCGTGAATGTGCGTATGTGTGCGTGTGTGTGTGTGTGTATGCCTGTGTGTGTGTAATATACCATAAAATACATTAGTTTTGCACCAGATTTGCTAAAGTTGGGTCAATATACAATATACGAGCTGTTCCCTTCATAAAGAGTAGCTCGGTAGTCGGTCTGCTTAACCTTTGAACTAACGAAACAGGTTTTGGAAACCTGCCTGAAAAAAGAAAGTTAAATTTTGCTAAAAAACAATTGTAAATAACTTAGCTATGTAATTATCGATTAATATTATATTATTAAACTCGTTTAATACTTGTGTTTTTTCTTGACTGCATTTCGTAGTGTTTCTATTAAAGTAGAGTTTTTTCCTAGAGTTATTGCTAGTCTTTGTAAATATGCTATGTATGCTTAGCTTTACGTCTAAACCATACACACACTTCTGTCTCTCTCTCTCTCTCTCGCTCGCTCTCTCTCTCTCTCTCTCTCTTTATCTGTCCTGTCTCTGGCTCTAATTTAATCTAATATTTAACTCTGCTGACTCTCTGCTGACTACTTTAAACTAAATTTATCGATAACACTGTCCTATCTTTCGATAGCTCCAGCGCACCCCCCCAATCCATCTTTGGCAAGCATTTAACAGTTTCTTCTATGCACTTTCAGTGTGCCCTTATTTACAAAAAAAAATAAATAAAAACAATAATAATAAAATTAAACTAAAGGAAAATAAAACAATATTTTTAGTTAAAAATTAGTTGAAATTTTAATTTAGTTTCCTTGTATTTAAGTCTCTGTGTGTTGTTTTTTATTAGGCGTGTCTGTTTCAAATGTGTGTGTGTGCGTGTGTGTGTGTGTGTGTGTGTGTGTGTGAGTATTCTGTTGTATTTAGTGCAGCTGTAAGCCTTGTTTTCGAGCAAGTATCACACTTAACCCGTACTACATTGTATTTATTAAGCTTACAAAATGGATTGAACTACCGCCTGCATTGCTCTAGAAATCGTGTATCGTATGCGTAATAATAAATACTATCTACATATATTTACAAAAAAAAAAACATCTAAAACACAAAATAATAGGCCTAACCTATAAAGAGACCACCTAACAAATTTAATTCAATTGAAAAATCTGAATGCAAAAAAAAAATACATATGTATTTATGATAATCTGAGTAACGGAATGTGACTCAAATATTGCGACACACACATTTTATACATTACAAAATGGACTTTTTCTTTATATCCAGACAAAAGCGAGACACGTGCTACAGTTGTTGTTGTTGTTGTTGTTGTTGTCGCTTGGTTGCGTATGAGTGTGTGTGTGTGTGTGTGTGTGTCTGTGTGTGTGTGTGTCTGTGTGTGCAATATAAATATAAATCATAAATAAGCCGCAACATCCACAGCCACACAGTTAGAGGTACCGTTAACCGTTATTTTTGCTGCGTGGTTTGATTTTGTTGTTGCTGTTACTGTTGTTGTTGTTCTTCTTCTTCTACTTCGAACTTGCTTTATTTTTTTTTTTTCTTGTATCGTTTACATTTTTGTTTATCTATTTTCGGTTGTTTGTTTGTTTTATTTTTCTTCTCTTGCGCGCTCTCTCTCTCTCTCTTTCTCTCTCTTCCTCGCTCTCTCTTTCTTTCTTATCTTGTTTTCATGCGTATACGTTATTCTGTTCTATTTTTTGGCTTGCGACCTTTGGCTAAGCCCTCGTGACGCGCCAACCCCCGCCTCCACCCCGTGCCGAGTTCAACGTCTTTCCCCGCACTCATCAGCCTTCTAATGAAATACCCATCGCTAATGCGTGTCCTCCAGTGACGTCCTTTCAATACTTTCACACAACTGTGTATCGTTTACAGTTTCTCTTTTTTTTTGTTTTTGTTTTTTCTTGTCTTTGTTTTCGTTTCTCATTTCGTTTTCTTGTTTTTTCTTTTTCTTTCCTATTTGTGAAACGTAAGCGATGATTATCATCTTTCTATCGTATGCGCTGATACAACACATCAATAGACGTGTGCGCATTCCCTTTTTTATGTATTTGGGTTCCTTACCAAAAATAAAAAAAAATAAAAAAGAATAAGAACTATGCGATTCTAATACGGGAAAACAACAACTCATTTAGTATACAATTTGTGCTATTGGTGTAATTCTCTACAGCTTTTCTCAATATATATATATATATATATATATATATATATGTGTGTATGGATATGTATATTCAACTATACACATATTGATTGATATATTAATGTCCATTTATAATACCATGGATCTAAGAAAATATAATACTATAAAAAAAAAAGCTAAGCAACACAAACTAAACGTTTGCATTTGCCTTCTTTTTTGTGTCATTAGATTAAAGATTGCCCATTTATTATTATAATATCTAAATGTTGTTATTTTCTTTGGTCTTTTGTACTGTAGAAGTTTTTTCCTAATTCTTTCCTATACTTAATAGTTTCGTATGTAATCTGCTTAGTTCTTAGCTGAAGTTAATCAATAATATTGCTAGGGATTTTAGAGATAGTAATTGCACCTTTTTAGATAGAGTCTATGGACGAACTCACAGTTAATGAAAGTAGGAGTGCTATTCTAGAGCCTGTTAGAAAGTAACAGGAAGTAGATCTTGTAGAGCTGGTAGATCCTTCGGATTTGACAATACGAAGTCCAAAACTAATATAATAGTCAAACTGATATAAAAAGAAAGAAGATAGACAAAATCGAACTGAAACGATAAAAACTTAATGCAAATCGATAACAATATCGATATTAGAGAGAGCACTGTAGAAAGTAAAATCAATGAAATAGAGATATATCGAGAGACGATATTCGTATAGCCGTACTCTTAACAGCGGAATTCGAACTTTGCACAGTTTTTATAAATTTCAAAATTATATTCCTGAAGCAGTCGCAATTATAAACTCTTTTATCTCTTTTTTTTTTTATACCTATGTATAACTCGTTCATTTTGTTGAAATTAGTATTTTGTGTTTTACTAAATAAAAATACATAACCTTTGTATGTGTGTGTTTCATATACCAAAAAAGCATCTTATCTATGTCTGTATGTGTATGTGTATTTATCGAAATTGAAATCAAAATTTCTAATGTGTGTCTGGTATTTAAGTAAAATATACATATATATGTATGTATGTATTTTGAAAGCAAGCATAGCTTTCGCTCTGGGAACCTAAATAGCATGCTCTTTGCTCGAACTACGAACTACACATTCACAGAGACAACCAGAACGATAACGATAACGATAACGATTACGACAAACGACAACGATACCAATTATACACGACTAGCAAAAGACACTTGTACATGAACGTAACGGGATCAAATCTATCAAGAGGTGTTGGAGGAGGCGTAGGACAAAGAAGAGGAAGCAGCAGCAGTAGCAGCAGCAGTAGCAGCAGCAGTAGCAGCAGCAGAGTATGAAGAAAAAACCACAACAAACTAAATGAACTGCGGCTCGGGGCAAAGTGGCGCTCAGTTCGTTTCCTTTTGTTTGTTGAGAGCCATCAAAGAGACATTTTGACATGTGCCACATCCCACATCCCACACACACACACACACACACACACACACACAAACACACACAGACCAGTCATGTAACGTGTGTGTGTGTGCTCCATTTTCGTTGCTGTTTTGCGTTTACCAACACTGCGCACACGTACTTAGCACCAAAGATACAAGCGAGTGCACAGCATATAGTTAGTTATCATTTTATTTGCTCATCAGCTGCTCAGCTTCATTAGCTTACGAACAACATTCCCTCATAGCTTGTGTCGCCCACCCTCACCCATAACCCCATCACGCTTACTAAGCGGTATGCTGCAGCCCTTGCCCCCACCCGCCTCTGGTTAGGCAGTACCACTCGAGCGCCCCTTGATGTGACACGACCGGCAGCATTTAACAGTTGTGTAGCTCAGGTGCAGGTTGTGCCATTTTGCTTTTAACTTTGAGTTTAGGTTAACTCTGATGTGGCATTTTGTGTGTGCTTGTGTGTTTGTGTTTGGGCGTGTGTGTCTGTGTGTGTCTAACGGGTCACTCTTCAGGTAATGGAAGCATGTCCTCGTCTTAATCCAGTCAGTCATTTAGTTAGTTCGTTTTTTCTTTGTTGGCTTTTTTTTTTTTTTTTGTAATTAAGTCAATTTGCCAGTCACTTTGACAGTCACTTTGCCAGTTGGTTTTAAAAGGGGCTAGGCCGACCGAACAAAATGAACACTTCCATACCATAATGCATTTTTCAGCTTGTGCAGAGCTTTAACCTTATAACTATACCTACTTACTTACTTACCCTACTAAATACTGTAAATCGTGTCATTGTATATTTTATAACTATATATTTATATATATATATACGTATATATTCGTACCCGATTATCCTATTCTATTCAGGACTTGTTTCCTTTCTACTATATTTTTTTGTTTTCTTTTTTTTTTTTATTGTATTTTTTCTTTTTGTGTTTTCTCATATTTGTTCTTCATTCGTGATTTAATTTGATAATTATGTAATATACTATATTTTATGATTCTTTGTTGGATTTGTGTAATACTTACTTATTATGTGTATATTTTTCAACAAACAAATTGTTCTAAAACCGAAAAAAAAAACCAAAAAAAAAAAAAAATATTATTGTTTTGAAATAATCGAAAGAAACAATTCTATAAACAAATATTTGTGCCATTTGTTATTTGTTTTTCTTTTCGATAATGACAACTACCAACAAAAATAAAATGTTCACATAATTTCACATCTGTTTATTTGTTTACTCCACTTCTCACCCTACTTCTGTATCCACAAATTGCAAAATGAAATTTAATCTGAAAAAAAAAAAACAAACAAACAAAAAAAAATTATTCTTTATCAACTTGAATACGCATATGCATCCGAATACCGAATACTGAATATACCGATACCGATTTCAAAAAAAAAAAACCGATTACTGAATACCGATATATATATATGATATATGATATACTCGCAATGCCAAAAACCATACAATTAAAAATCGAACTAAAAAATCTAAAAAAAAAAAAACTCAACAACAACAACAAAATATAAATTATCAAACGCATATTATCGATATGTATGTCTCTATATATATATATATATATATATATAAATATATATATGTGTGAATATATGTATCCATATTTATGCATGAATGTATGTATGCTACCAACTGAACTGCACCCCGAAACCGATAACGATACATAATCGATAACTGAATCGAAATTGAAAACGTTTAATATCGAAAAAAAAAAAAAACAAAACTATACAAACAAAAATATGAAAACTTGAAATGTTGAAAACGAAGGTTCCACGATGAGGAGCACGCGAATTTGCTAAACACCATGTGGCTAACGGCCATCACATTTCTGTGTGTCGGTTATGGCGACATTGTGCCGAACACATACTGTGGACGCGGTATAACGCTCACCTGCGGCATGGTGGTAAGTATACAACTAGAAAAACAAGAAAAAAAAAACAAAAACAAAAAGTTAATCAATTTAACTATATGAAACCAAAAAAAAAAAAAGAAACAAACCAAAAAATAAAAAAAAATATAACAAAATCAAAATACCAGAACCAATAAACAGAACAGTAACAGTTAACAGTACAAATAACAGCAACAGTTAACAGTGACCGTTAACAGCGACAGTAGCCGAACAGACAATGTTGCCAATGCAAATGTTAACATATGTAATGATTGTGTCATAACATAAACAAGTAATACAGCTACAACAACAACAACAACAACATATACAAGTACGTTACGTATACGTTACGTTACACATGCATACAATATTTCATACCAAAAGAAAATAAGAAAAAATAAACTAATATTCGAGTCGACAGAAAATAACTATTCAAAACACAGCAATGCTTATATTAGACAACACACGCACACGCATAAGTGTTTGTGACTGAGTGTGTGTGTGTGTGTGTTGGCCATATGCCAAAAGCAGGAATCGGCGCGCGTTTTTAGCTGATTAGGACTTAGGATTTTTTTTTGTTTTTTGCAGGGCATTGTGCGCGTTTAGTTCATTCCATATATCTTACAATATACGTATATGTAAATACATATATATATATATATATGATAACAGGCAAGATTCTGTTGTAAATCATCAGGCAGCCACAACCCACCAGCAACAACACCAACTACACCCGCAGAAAACCACCAACAGCAACAATTCATGCATAAATCGTATTTTGTGTGTGTTTTGCTGTAATACTAAACATATTCATGCATTTCTTCTGTATTATCGTGCATACATCTATGTATACATACACGCGCAAAGCACACACACAGACACACACACACACAAGCACAATCACACACACACATGCACACACACATTCGCATAAGCATTCATATGTATATAAGCATATAAATATATATATATATATATATATTCATCACTATTTCGTTAAACAGCTACGTCTCTGATTATATATGTGTGTGTGTGTGTGTGTGTGTGCCATTTGTGTGTGTGTGTGCCATTTGTGTGTGTGTGTGTGTGTGTATGAGCAACCGCTAACCGAGCCAGACTTTTGTTTTGTAACAATTGTGAGTTTCCGTTACCACAGAACAGGCAACAAATCCTTGTTGACAGCTCATTTATGTGTATGTATATAATGCCTACGTGTATGTGTTTGTATATCTGTATGTGTGTGTGTGTGTGTATGTGTGTGTGTGTGTGTGTGTGTGTGTGTGTGTGTGTGTGTTAGTGTGTGTACGTGTGATATTTGTTTGTATGTATGCGTGTGCAGAACTATATCCAATTTAAATAGTCACCTTCCAGTTTGTTTTGCACCAGTAAAAACTCTCTTAACCAAAATAAAACTTAATAAAAAAAAAAAAAGAAAAAGAAATAAACTAAGAACTAACAAACTGTTCATTTCAACGACGCATTTCTCTCGGTTTACGTCGCTGTCCTTTCTCCAGAACGAAAGCCTCTCTCTTTGCATATTCTTAACCTAACCTTACTTGAATAACCACCTGTTTGTGTGTGTTCACGGTTCCTAAACAAATTGATTCAACATATTAAGAAGAAATCTCTCTTTCTCGCTCGATCTTTCAAGTTGCATTTTTTTTTTCAAACATTTGCTATATTTTATGCCTGTCATCAGTTCAATTTCAACTAACTCTCAGTTTTGCTATATTATTTCTTTATTTATGTTTTCCTTTCTTTCTATTTGTTTGTTAAATTCCTTCTATTTATTTTGTGTTTATTGTAAACTTGTTGTGTTCGATAGTTTATGTTCTCTGGTTTCTTGTTTGTTATATGACAAAAAAAAAAAAATAATAAAAAAATTAGTATAGTAATATTTATTTATATATTTTTTAAAACATAAATATATTGTTAAATACATATATTTTTTATACTTTTAATATGTGTTCGTTTTTGTGTATATTAAGCCAAAACAATACGATATTTTTCTCTATCTCTCTTTCCCTTTCATTTAATACTGAATAATACGCTCTGCGTGCTCGTGTACTCGTAATAAATACGTGTGTATTTTTTGCCCCTGAACAATATGATAACGCGATTCTGAATGCGTTTGCAATTTGCAAAATTATAAATATTTCAAACAAACAAAAAAATACCGAAATATACCGACAAACACCAAAAATATACCGAAAATAAATAAATTATCGAACAAAAATATCGATAAATTCACTAAATGGATACGCAAAATGCAACAGATTTCATGATGAAGAGCATGCGAATCTTTTAAATGCAATGTGGCTGATAGCGATAACATTTTTGAGTGTTGGTTTCGGTGATATTGTTCCGAATACGTACTGTGGACGTGGTATCGCTGTCAGTACAGGAATAATGGTGAGTTTTTAACAAACAAAACAAAAAAAAAAAAATAAATACAAAAAAAAAAAACAAAATATCCAAATAAACAAAATAAAACAAAAAACAAAAAAACCCTCAGAAATCATTTTACAAAAGAACTTATATCAAGTAGAAAGAAAAATATGGAAACTAAATGTCCAACAGCACACATATCCAAATCAATTCAAAATCAATTCAATTAACTGTTTCTAACCGAACATATTTACTATCATTTCAACTCGATACAGGCTTGATATTCATATGTAAATAATTACATTTATCGCATTATCAACAAAATGAACCCAAAGATTAATCAATGCTCAATACACTAAAGCTCCTCGCAATGTAATATCCCGCCCTCTAGTTTAGTATACAACCTATTTAAGTACTTACATCATGTACTTTGTCATATACAACCACATGCATAACAAATACATTGTACATCAGTACATCATACAAATTGGGCTCTACAAAACGGAGCGAGTTCATCAAGTGTTTCAGTCCGTACACACGTTACTTTCAACTCATTTGTCACGTGCGACAATGGCGCGCCTGGAAGTAGGCAACACTCGAATAATATGCATGTCGATTGTTGGACATTTATCGGATATCGATGTGTGATCGAAACGGGGCTGATTTGCAGATCTTTAAGCACACCCACACACACGCTTCTTCTGCTAATGCTTTAGCTCTCTCCCTCACTCGCTCTCTCTTTTACACTTTCCTTTCTCTCTCTCTCTCTCTCTTTTTCTCACTCGCTCTCTCCCTCTCTCTCTCTCTCTCTCTCTCTGTCTCTTACCCTCACTCTAGCTCACACTTTACCTATGCTCGATTCAATTTCTTGCCTCTTCTTTACTTTCTTCCCTCTTACTCAATGGAACTCTAACTCTTTCCATCTATATTTAAGTCTCTCTGACAACCTTTTTACATGCATATTGAACATGTCGTAGTCCTTGAATTGAAATTGTCATACAAATAAAATATAACAATAACTCAACTAAATACCAAAATACCTAATAATACTAAAAACTAACCTCTGAATTGTGTTTATCATTTTCCAACTATGTTCTCTAGACTTATCGTTACTTATGTGTGTACTAAACAAATTCCCAGCTCTAACTGTTGTAATACCTAGACAATTTGTACAACTTGAGATCTTAATCTGATTCTGATTCTGATTCTGATTTACATAATTTCCTATTACCCAATAAACTCTTCTTGCCACATAATGATAATAATAATGATAATAATAATAACAATAGTAACAATAATAACAATAGCAATAACTGTTTATTGGCATTACAATATAAACATATTTCCGACTAATGTGCGATAGCATTTGGAGTAAGCCTTTCATTCATTGCACTCACTCAGTCATTCATACAACCAACTACTCATTGATTCACATCTTGCTCATAAAAATTAAAAAAAAAAAAATAAGAAACGAACAACAAATTCTAGGCGAGGTGACAGGACTATAAAAAATTACTAAAGAAAACCTAAAAAAAAAACAAGAAACAAAAAACAAAAAAAAATTGATATAAAAAAACATAAAATTGAAAGCAACAAGTTCTGGACTTAAAACAATCATTTGAATGTATAATCCACAACAATTAACTGGCATTATGATAAATTCCAAAGAAAAAAAGAAAAGAAATAATAAGAACACGCTACTAAATGATTGATCAAGCATAATTGATTGCACGTGCGTGCCACAAATTCAGCTGAGTCCACTCTGTATGCATTTGTGTTAGCCGCCGTGCATTCAATCTCTCTTCTCTCAGCTGCTATCTTATTGCTAATGTCGCATCTATTCTCGTTTACAGGGTGCTGGCTGTACAGCGCTACTTGTGGCTGTGGTATCCCGCAAGCTGGAGCTGACCCGTGCCGAGAAGCATGTGCACAACTTCATGATGGACACGCAGTTAACAAAAAGGGTATAGATTGTCTCCATAGCAGCACGCAAAATAGCCAGCAAACTATATAGAGTACAGTTACACTCATACACCTAACCTCAAATTACGGAACACAAACCTAACTTCAAATGACGTACTTAAGACGTAACAAACCTCGAGCCCAAATTCGAATCTGACCCGACAAAAACGCTTCAGTACTTAAATTTTCAGCCCAACAGGCACTAAAGCTCAAGTTCTTACGATTACTGGAATACGTATTACCGATATATTTAAGCAATATATTTATTAGTTTCTTAATTTCTTCCAATTTGCTGACCGACACGCGCTTCAATTGTACGTCTTCTATATTGTAAAACTCGATTTGGTATTGATACTCGTCTCATTTAGCGTATACTCGTTTAATAATAAGTACTCGTAGAATACCATTGTGTTACTGTCCCACAACAAATGCCACAACAACTCTAATAACTTTGTATTCATTTCTTCTCATAAAAATTTAGCTGAAAAATGCTGCGGCGAATGTTCTTCGTGAAACTTGGCTCATTTACAAACATACAAGACTAGTAAAACGGGTTAATCCCGGCCGTGTAAGAACCCACCAAAGAAAGTTCCTTCTAGCTATATATGCGTGAGTATTTTTAGAGATCTATCAACATCAACTAACTGTCAGAACCACCAAAAAGTTACGAAAATCCCCAAAAAAGAAATAACAAAAAAAAAACAAATAAGTATATATACATATATATATATATATATGTACATATATACATATATATACTATATAAACAAATTAAACTGAAACTAAATCTGAGATTTGATAAAAGAATAGAAAAAGAGATCAAACAATAACATATATCGTATATATCTATATAGTTATACAGCTTTACAGTTAATAGATCTGTTGTATAATACAACCATATAGCCTGAACGAATCCCCAAGTAAAGCTTTCAAAATGAACAACTCAGAACGTGTGAGGCCAACTGAAAAAACCATTCATAAAATCACATTTAAAAAACTTTTGTTTTACGTTCTTGTCTTTTGTCCTGTCCACACATGTGCGTCTATTCATAAAAAAATATATACATATATAAAAAAAATATTAAAAACGAAAAAACGATAAAACGTGCCCAAAGCTACTGTGTGTGTGTGTGTGTGCGTCTATGTTTGCATCTGTGTGAGTGTGTGTGCTTGTCAGTGTATGTGGCACAACTTGTCAGCTGTCTTTAGCATATCACGCAATCATGCAAGACCCAATGAAGAGTCTCTTAACACTCAAACGAGGCCGCTCTCTTAGCTTTATCGCCGGGCAGACAATTTGACGATACGTGTTGTCAATCAAACGCTTTCCAATGTCCCAAAAGTGAGGCAGAAATACTCTCTTTCGATAAGAAGGCGATAAGATAGCCAATCAGCAGCATTCACTAGCAATATACTTATCTTCTGCATCATGCAGAGCACACATGCAGGCACATTCCTAGCCGTATTATTGAGATAATCAATCTTTGTTATTAAAACTACAACTTTTTATCTGAACATGCCATTCATTCTCTCTATTTCCGAAAAAGAGTTGCTCAAATAGTTCTCAGAAGTTCTCAAAACAAATCGTTTCAAAGATCCTCAGAAAAAGAAAACAAAACCTACCCTCCCCAAAAAGTATGCTATTTTAATTCTTGTGAACTATCAACACATCCTTCAGTTTGTTTTTAGTTTACGTAATCCCAATATCTCCAGCTTTTTTCGCATAGTAGATTAACAAGAAATCAGAAATTAAACAATTATAACGCTTAGCACCGTAACAGATTGGGGTCTATAAATGTGAATGTGAAGAGTCTGCTTATACTACTAAATGTACATAGCATTATCGAACTATTAATGAACATCAATACAATAATCAATGAGTGCCATAACCAATTAAAAATTAACAAAAAAAAAAAAGAAAAGAAATAAAATTCAATATAATTAAATGATTGAACTCGTTTTACTAGCCTGTAAATAGGTTGTAAAGCCCTGTTTTTACGTTATGATAATACCGAAAACTAGCCACAAATACCTAGCATGCAGCGTTAATTTTCCAGAAATTCCTATCTTAAAGTATCAGCAGCTTTTGCAACATGGACCTAACCTCGACTACACTGTATATACCAAAACTATTGTAACTGCAGCATAATTATCATTAAAATGATTACCAAAATAATTATCATTAAAATTATTATCATTATCATTATCATTATCATTATCATTATCATTATCATTATCATTATCATTATCATTATCATTACATTATCAGTATCATTATCATTATCATTATCATTATCATTATCATTATCATTATAATTATCATTATAATTATTATTATCATTATCATTATCATTTCATTATCATTATCATTATCATTATCATTATCATTATCATTATCATTATCATTATCATTATCATTATCATTATCATTATCATTATCATTATCATTATCATTATCATTATCATTATCATTATCATTATCATTATCATTATCATTATCATTATCATTATCATTATCATTATCATTATCATTATCATTATCATTATCATTATCATTATCATTATCATTATCATTATCATTATCATTATCATTATCATTATCATTATCATTATCATTATCATTATCATTATCATTATCATTATCATTATCATTATCATTATCATTATCATTATCATTATCATTATCATTATCATTATCATTATCATTATCATTATCATTATCATTATCATTATCATTATCATTATCATTATCATTATCATTATCATTATCATTATCATTATCATTATCATTATCATTATCATTATCATTATCATTATCATTATCATTATCATTATCATTATCATTATCATTATTAATATGTCATTATTAGTGTCATTAGGCAAATGCTTGGTACACTGTAACGCTAACTGGGCGAGCTTTTTGTTTGCCGTCACTTTTGAAGCTTCGACAGCTTTCAAAGCTCCACCTTGCTCAACACAAGCTTTAAGTCATTTCATACCTAATTTTAGTGTAGCTCAAGTAAATTAGTTTGTAGCCTTATTTTTAACAGTCTTATGTACATTTAATACACACAAGATCCGAAGAAAAGTTGATTTGGAAAAACAAAGCTACATTTTTCTGATGATATTTTTTGATACGATTTTCTGCAATCTTAACGCTAGACCAAAATCAAATATAAGTAAAAAAAAAGAAAAACTAACACTTATAACGGCACAATCAATTCTAACACACACTCACAACTTTTTCAGAAAACAATTTGTTTTTCGTATTTTCTTACATTAAAACTTCTTTCATATAACTAAAATATTGACCCATATTGGGCCTGTGATCCGTCTAATGAAAAGAATATCAAATGCTATAGCTGTACAGCTGAGTCTTACACTTTCAGGCAGAAGCTTGGTTCCATCAAGTTGCGCAAAATTGTAATACTCAAAGCAGTCAATGGTTCTTAACAAATATCTCAATGATAAAAGAAAAAAGTATAAAAAAAGAAGAAAAATAAATTTGTGTGTTGACACGTGCTACACGATTTCAATAATATTGTTTATAAACTTGATGATTCTTCCCACCTGCCACTAGGTTGCGAAAAGTTAAAATGGATCAACGCAAACTAATGGATAATGCAAACACAATAACTGATATGGCCAAGGTAGCTAACAATCCATAATTTCTATAGAAGCCCCAAGCTCAGCATTCCACTCTAATTGAATTTTTGTCTAATTCTTGCACAGACACAAAATACGGTCTATGAAATAATATCGGAAATGTCCAGCCGTCAGGATGCCATCGAGGAGCGTCTAACAAACCTAGAGGATAAAATGCAGAGTCTACAAGTAAGTAATTGCACGATAAGCACATTAATGACAATCGATAATTTTTTCAATGCCACCCTCGATAGGAGCACATGGAAAGCCTTCCAGATCTATTATCGCGCTGCCTGACACAGCATCAGGAGCGCATCGAGCAACGACGCAACTTTCTACATCCGGATACAGCCGCCGCTGCCGTACCGCCCATACAACCGGCCACGCCCCAATCCATGTTCAATGCGGCGCCCATGCTGTTCCCCCATTCTAGGTAAGTGCTGTGGACAGCCAATATCAAATCGGCTTTTGCTATAGCAATTGCATCATCGTAATTATCATCATCATCATTACTATCATCACCATCATCATCATCATATAATCAGCAGCAGCAGCAGCATCATCGTCATCAGATCATTATCCACAAGACATACATATCATTCCCATTGACTGCTATTATAGTTGAATTCCACTGAATATCATACTAAATAACGTACTTTTCGAATCAAAGTGAATTTGTAAACACTTATGAAACAAATTGAATTGAAGAGGCCTTGAATACTTAACTGCTAATTTCATTCAAATACTTTTGGATCCGTCATCAGCGGATCTATTTAAATGAAGTGCACGAAGCGAAATCAGCCGTGAACTGAACCATTCACTAATCTTTCTGCTCATGCAGCCCTGATAAAAATACTCCATTGCTATCGATATATACCGTTATCAACAGTAGTTAAAGCGTTGCCACCATTTGAAATATCTTGTGCAGTGGAATTCAGCCATCGAATCATTTGTGTGTATGTTTGTATTTGTGCTACTTTGTAAAGACCCAGTAGTTAAGACACCTCCCGCTCCCAACAAAAAAAAAAAAAAAGGAAAAACCAAATTGCAAGACCCGTTATTACAATTTGTGGCATTTTCTTCTATGCAAGATTCATGTGATTATTTTTGATGAAAAGCGTGTCTGTGAGTACTATCAATTTGCATTTGGTATTTTAAAGGCAAAAAAAAAAAAAAAAGAAAAGAAATACAGAAAAAACAAAACATGTCGCGAGTGGATTGATTGGTTTAAAATGCATTCCATGGCTTTTATCTCATATCATAAGTATATATCTATAGATATTTTTGCATATTGATCGAGCTCACACACATAAATCCATATGACAAAACATAATTATGATAATTATTAAAAAATAAAAAAAATAAAAATGATAAAAAGAACAATTGAATTGCTTAACTGTAATAAGTTTTGGTCGAAAAATGAATCTAATTGAGACTATTAACATACTGCTTTTTGCATAGAAGTGTACCCTCATCCAATAACGCCGCTGCTACTTACCATTGGCCAACAAGCCCTATTTTGCCACCTATATCTAGTAGAACACCACATTTAGTGCCTGATACTCACATGCCATCAAATGGATCTGCAGTTAATAGCTACGCATCTTCCAACAAATACGGCAGCTGAATATCCGAAAGAGAGCGCTCCAACTCCGTGATTAACATCGAGATGCATATATTAAAACCAGCTAGAGCAACTACGTCAACAATATCATCCACATCAACAACAACATTTACGTCAATACCAATGCCCATGTCAAAGTCCATGTCACCAACTCTGATGGAGACAGCGCTAAGGCAGCGTCTGCATTCGCCATCGTTGTCCGTCGAACCGGAACAGCTCTTCGAACTGAGCCATTATCAACAGACATATTCGCATTCACAGCAGCATTCGTATCCGCATCAGCGCACCCTGGAGAACATCAGCATACCAGCCATACCGGAGGATGTCGAAACCATGACCAATGCGAATAGCAAAGGTTCACCCGATCCAAGTGCGCAGCTGCAGCCCATTCAGGCGGGCAACGCTGGCATCTCCATAGAGATGGCAGCGGACATATCGATAGCGCAACCGATAACAACACAAATCGATAGCGATGCCAGAACGAATGCAACGATGACGACGACGACGACGACGACGAATGTCACATCGATTGCCACAAAGATCACTGAGAATAAGTTTACTAGGAAAAGAGAACGTGTATGCAATAATAGTAGTAATAGTAATAATAATACAAATAATAGTAATATTAGTAATTCTACAAGTCGAATTTCGAACTCGGCCTTTTGTAAATAAGCCTCTTCGAAATTAGAGAAACAAAAGTCAAACGTTAGCATATACAAACATATATATCTATATGTGTATATATATATATATATGTATACATGTATATATATGTATATATATATTCATATAGGAAAGGTGTATTTTTTTTCTAAGCCTAGGATATTATTGGTATTTTCACAATAGTATCTAGTAATTGAATTAAATTACATAGCATAGCATTACCATTAAAAAGTGTGACTTGCAACCTGATGAATGATGAAATCAATAGACCCCAACCCCTCCCAATTCAATATAAAGGAAGATCTGTAAATAGGATTCCACATTCATGACAAAAGGTAACAGTTAATACCATAGCAAAAAGTTTGAATTCTGGTATCATTATTAGCGGAAATCCCCAAAAAATAGCAAGTCTACAAATCTCTAAAAAAAAAAAAGAAAAAATAGTAATAGTAATAATATCATTTAAGAGTCTAAGTAAATGTTCAGATTATAAATCAGAAAACAGGCATATTAGTAAGAAGTATTGCATATGCTTCTTCAACAATATCAACAGCAAAATCCATGTACGTTCCTCTGTTCGACTATAAGTGCTAGAATCAGCAAAGTTTCTTATGTAGGCTCTACTATATCCCTATAATTATAGGGTATATCAAAAACATTTGATATGCCGCCATTACACCCCCGAAAATCCATAGGAAATAAAAAAAAAAAACAAAATAGTGTAAAGTAATTACCACGATTTAGTATATGATATGTCAACTTATTTAACTTCAACTTACAGAACTTAACCATAGATTTTTGGTTTGCAGACACTCGTTTATATCAGCCCTAAAAGTCCTTAGAGTATATATATATGTGTGTGTGTGTATGTGCGTGTTTTTGTGTATGTGTGTGGTTGTATTCTGGTGCATAAAAATAACTTAATGAAGATGTTAATATGAGTATTCAAATTGTTCTATGTATTACGAACATAGGAGAAATTCATCTAAGTTCAACTAAAAAAATGTTGCTGGTTATGGAAAAAACAAAAACAAAAACGAAAACAAAACAAAACAAAATTAGTGTACCACATATACATACATACTATTAAATAATAGCCCTGGCTTTAACGAACAACATTTTTTAAGAAAACAAATGAAAAAATACCAAAAAGGAGTTGATCATTTTAAGTCCCAAAGTAACTATAAACCCAAAGAATTATGAACTCAATTAAGAACCTGACTAGCTTTTGAGAGAGGTACGAGATACAGAATATTCAAATAACTTAAGTAAGCCCTTCAAGAACAATTTTAATTGAATTTTGTAATATATGTATTTAAAGAAAAAACACATAAAAAAAAACTATTTCAATTTAATATACAAACTAGTTGTAATGTAACAAGAGGAAAAATGCCCGAAAAAAAAGTGGAGAAAAAATACTAAGTAAAAAAAATACTGTAGTTATAGCAGAGTGGCCGAGCTACGTAAGTTTTCTAAAGATTCTAAAAGGAAATACATAGACATACTATAAAGTATTAACTGAGAGCATCGAAGTTAATTTTTTTTTCATAGGTAAATGAAGTAAGAAGAAAAATAAGAAAAATCTAAAAAAAAATAAGAAAAAACGCATAATTACAAATGCTTTTAGGCAAGTCGCAAATAAAATAAAAAAAAAAAAAAACAAAAAAAAAACAAAAAAAACCATCAGAAAAAGAGTTCAACAAGTTTTACAACTGAATTCCCCAAACGAACATGCCAAGTTGCCGCCGCAAGACCAGCGAACAAGAAAAGGATCAAAAAACCAACTAAGTAGTATATTGCAACTAACTTTTCAATAAACATTTCTCGAATCCTCATTAGAAAACCATGTATTAAATCGCTGCAATAGAGATGCGTCAATTAGTACCCAACATTTTGTTTTATTAAAACATTCCAATTAGTTTCCAATTCGTTATTCGCCATTGTGTTGCAATCAATTGGTTACCATTTAAAGTAATTTTACACTTAAATTTGATATTTTTTTCATTCAAATCCAATTTGTATTTAAAATGTGCACATCTCTAAGTTTTTCTTGAAGCGATCTGGCAGCACCAAATAGCTGAATGAGCATGCGTTAAGTTGGCTGCGTTTAAAACTACCGTCAATAACTGTATACAGAATTTATTGGATGATCTTTTGCAAGAATTTAACAATTTGTAGCGATCATTTAGCAGCTAAATTGAATTGAACCTTAGCCAAGCTCACAAAATATTAAGCCTAACTGTAGGTTGAAGTACGCGCATAAATAGCAAGTGCTTATTACAAATTCTAAGTAAAAAGTTTTCTCAATTTCCGAAAGTTCTACGACAAATTCATCAGTGATTTGGAAACAAAGTGAAAAAAGCCTAGAAATTATTGAACAAAACCAAAATAAAGACTACTACGTTGAATAACGAAAAAGTGACGTCACAAAAAGAAAAATAAGAAGAGCCCTTAAACATGTATACCTATTTATATAATATTGAATATTTAAATTGAAATGAACGTTCAAGACTGCTGTCAAAATAGCTTTATCACAATAAAAAAAACACACACACATACATACATCTAACGAACACTATGGACAAGTAACACGAACTAAGAAAAAATACGAAAACCAAAAATGAAATAACTATATTTAGAAAAAAAGAAGAAAGAAAACCAAATGGGGAAAACAAATATCAAAAGACAATGTACTACGCCCAGCTTTAATGGTTTTTACTATAATGCATCTTTGGGTTTCAACACTCCATCAAAACTATAACAAGCACAGAAACAGAAACAAACCGAACAAAACTAGAACAAGAAACATTTTTTCCCGTTTGAACTGGTTTCCTTGACACAATACCTAAAGACAAAATGAAACAAATAAAGAAAAACTAAACGAATTATTATGAAGAAAAACCAAAACCAAGAAACTTTGATATGAGGGACCGAAATTTAAAGACAGGTCTTAATTATACAAAACCAAATGAAATACCCTTTAACTGAAGCCTAAACGAATACCATATATACCTACTACTATATTGAACAATGTTAACCTATGCATGCTATATGCATATGCCATGGCTGCTATCAATAACAAATGACACGAATCGGTCCGGGGTGCACAGTGGTGCACATGCATATGAAGCATGGCCAAAATCAAATCGAAGCAAAATATTCAAAATCTTCAGTAGGGTGACACTTTTCTAGTACTAAACATTTATAGAGCCGCACTTTTTCGGCAGTTTTATAAGAAAAGAAAAACTCTTTTGTTTTTGTTTTTTTTTTTTGTTTTTTTTTTTTTTTTTGATAAATTCCCAAGGCGCCCGGCCCACTGTGCACTGTCCACTATTTCTGATGTACGTATTTGGGAAATTGTTCCATTTGTATAATATTTACATTGTATGTGTGTGTATGTGTGTGTGTGTGTGCTCTTCTCAACAGCGAAACGTAATACTACGAAACAACCAAAGTATGACACAACTTCAATTCACATTTTCCGCAAATTGAGTTCCACACCGAACATATAGCACCAAGAAATCGAACAGACCGCAACGGATATAAACAAATTTTGGTATATTTACATGCTGCTTCAGTTCATCGAGAAAAAAACGATGTTTAAGCTAAATAGAAATCCGGCCTAAAAGGGCAAACGGCATAGTATAGTAAAACTTACCGAAAATAATACAAAACAAAAGAACATGCATACAATATACATGTACAAGCACTCAAACAACAACAATATACTATATACTCTATATACTCTACAATATATATATATATATATGTATTCTATATATACATAAGAGGAAACACTAAAAGATCATATTTGACTTTACATGTATTATAGTAATGTATTCAGTAGTTGAACGAGAGCCGATGCAAAGACCAATTTATTAAGCATAAACAATTATGTTAAACTAAACAATAAAAGATTAAAATATATATATATATATATATATATATATATATAAACACACAAAACTTAAATTACAAAGTAAAAAAACAAAAATGCGAAACAATTTTTTATTAAACCAAACACGAGCAAGTAATGTATTTAAAAACCAAATGAAAACTTTAACTAATTCAAAACTTAAACCCAAGAAAAAGAAAAACCAAAATTTATATGCTGAAAAATTAAACCAAAACGGGATTAAATAACACAAACATTATGTTAAACAAACGAAGAGAAAACTTATTAAAAAAAAAATTTCTAAAAGAAATGAAAGCTAAAAATACAAAAAAAAAAAAATAAAAATAAATAAATAAATAAAGAAAATCAGAAGAAGGAATGAGGAAAAAAAATGCGATGTAATTTACATACAATTCAGTGGCTATACAAATAGTTTATTTTGAATTAACGGTATTGTATATTTAAATTAATATTGTTATATATATATATATATATATATATATATATATATATATATGTATGTATATATATATATATATATGTATATCTTATCGAGGAACCGTGTTTTGCAAAAGCTTTAATATTTAGGGTGCCTACATTTGCTAAATTAGTATTTTACGATTTAAAAGGAGGAAGAGAAACCAACAACACAACAAGACAACATACACACACCAACGCACACACACACACACACACCAACACACATCCACACACACACGAACAGTAATAGAAGACAACAATTACCGATTAAATGAAAATTTTAAAATGTAGTCCTTAAACGCATAAAAAAAAGTGTTTTGTCAAAACAAAAAATAAACAACAAAAAAAAGGAAATAAACTAATTTAAAAAAAAATATCCATTCGCGATTTTCAAAATGTACACAAAATAAAACAAAAACAAACATAAACCAAAAAAAATAAAAAAATACTAAAAAAATGAAAGAAAAAAAGCAAACAAAAAAAAATTGTATTTCGAGATATGAATTTTAAGAATGTTTATTAGATTTACGATTTGTTATTTTGTATACATATATATATGTATGTAGTATAAACTGATCTGATTTTTTTTTTGCTCATTAAGCATTTACCTCATAAGAATTCCCACTATTTATAGCAAATTTACCATTACATAAATCAATTGATGTACTGTTATAATGTACACACCCAAAGCAAACAAATGAACAAGAGAAAAACAAAACAACAGCAACAACAAGAAAAATTTATAAAAACAAAAAACAAAAAAAATATATATAAATAATAATTAACACTAAATACAAACAAAGAACAAAAAATGGGAAGAAAAACTTAAGTAAATATTGTAAATTATAAAATTAATGAAGAAAAATTGAAAAATTTTAACATAATAAAGGGCTTTGTATGAAAAAAAAAAAACGGACATGCTCTAATTTGAAATTAACTGGATTTTCATTCCAGCCTTAAAGTCGACTTTGCTATTTTTCAATTTGTACGTCACATTTGTATACCCCTTAAAAGGGCAATATTGTTCTAGTGCCAAGGCATGTAACAGGCGCAGCATGATGTCAGTCAAGTCTATTCAACCATGTTTGTCAGTCTGTGCGCATGCATAAAGCGTCAAGCTCAGAGGCTATGAACTGGCTTGACATTATCAACTTGGCTATAATAGATTAAATTCAAATCAAGTACCTTGAGCTGAATTTCAAAATAACAATAAATCACAATCATCGATTCGCGCAAAATCGATCAAAATCGATATCGATATGTGTCTCGTAGTTTACAAAAGCGAGAGACAACAAGCCAGAATATGAATATGAACCTTAGTATTCACACACATTCATTGATCCATATTGAAACCGTGAAAAGTGCATCAAGATCGGACAATAAGCACCGAACTTAACCAAGAAGCTCGTACTGTGATGATCGTATGCGTTTGCCGTCACGCTCCAATAGACTTTCGATGACTAATCTTTCTAATACGATTAGTGTTTACAAGCACAGCTGGACACTGGGGTCAGGGTGTCTAACCAGTCGATCATACCCTATAAGAGCTCAACCATTTACCCTGATTTATTCCCTTTATAAAGAAAGCGTGCATTTTTTTTGGTTTTCAAAACAATTTTATTATAATAGATTTTAAATATAGCTTACAGTCAATATAAATAGTTTATACACTGACTTGAACAACAACAAAAAAAAAGAACATAAATTAGATACTACGCGATAATTGTAAAATTGTACACATTTTAAAAGATAAATTAGTCGAGAATGCTCGACCAGCAAGGACCTGCAATCAATTTGATCAAAGGAAATATTCGTTTGTTTTAGGTTTTCGTTTTCTGAAAGGTACCAGAAGAACTTAGGCTCGTATTTCAAATCATATTTATATTGGATCGTGTTTGAATTGATTTCGATTAATAGTGTTTCGGTAATGGATAGTTTTAGCAGGGCCTTTGGCTTCGTAGTGGCTGAAGGCATTTAATACATATATATATATATATATAATACAATATGAATAATCTCCATTTCGCTTAGTTGCTATTGCCACACAGATTGTAGAGCTTCTGCCGGAAGAAGCCCATCTTATTCGACTTGGCTTGAATCGCCCGTTTCGCCGCCAAATCGCTTTTGAACAGCAGCCAATCCCGACGAGTCTCCGGATTGGATGGTCCCCACTTTTCGCTCGGCTTTAACGAGGCCATAAATGACTGCAAACAAGGGGCACAGTTTGTAATATTTTCAACCATCCAAATTGTATATATGTCTAACTTACCTTGGAGAAGCTGTCATGCCTATGGGTTCTGATGTACCACCAGCCCCAAAGTGGAAACTGCGCCGCGCCCACAGCGAAGAGCACCCAGCCCGCAACTTTGTTGTAGAGATTTGATTAGACTTAAGTCAATTAGATCTACAATTGAGCTTACCATCTCCGGCAACGGGAAAATATGTATCACTGTATTTAATGGGCGATATGGTTACCATTGAGTAGATGAATATCACAATCATCATGATTGGGGTAAAGAACGACCAGCATATGCGCCAGTACAGTGAAACCTTCTTGTTGCTCATGAACTCGATATCATCGCAAAAGTTTTGCAGGCCTTGAAAATAGATGGATAGTTTGATAGATTAAGATTAGAATAATAATAGATATTATTTGATAGAGTTTCGACAAATCGATAGTTATCGATCAAATAGAAATAGGTAAGGTATATCGAGAAAGAATGACTCGTTTTGCATATATATGCATATGTTAGCCTAGAAGAAGACTCGCAACAATGTCGCCGAGAAGATACATTGGCGATCCAAAGCAAGGGCATTTTCTCCACAAACCTGAGGCCTTAAAATATTATCTTACCATATATCCAAACGATGCCCGCCAGCTCGAAGATGGCCAATATGAAGACCACATAGGTGCCACCATAGAAATCCACCAGCGTCAAGATCCATTGGCCGCCCTGTTGCAAGCATTAAATCTTGACAAACGCGCTCAGAGCTAACACTTCATTCACAAACTTACCGGCGTTACATAGACCAGGCCCATAAGGAAACCACAAATGGATGTGGCCATTGCGACCTTCCAGTATTTGCACGTCTTGAACTGATCGCATATGATTGTCACAATGGTGCTCTGCAGGGCCACAATCGAGCCAATGCCCAGCACGAACAGCATGAAGAAGAAGAGCGCAGAGAAAAGCTGCGGCACAGCCTGAAACTTCGATATGGCATCCGGATAGGATATGAAAGCCAGGCCAGTTCCACTGCGCACCACATCCCGTATATTATCCACCTTCAAATTATGCGCCAAATTGCCAAGTATGGCAAATATCGTAATACCACCCAGCAGACTAGTCAGCGTATCCAATGTGGTCACAATCATGGCATCCCTGTAAAATGTTTGATTAGAGCATGGAGTTGAGTGTATGGATTTCAGAAACAAACTACTTTTGGCTAGAAATTTAATAAAAGATTTGGCTTTCTACCTTTAACTCCTAGTTCCACTTATTGAAGTGGATTTTTCATAACTGGTGAAAATGTAGAAAATTCTATTCAGAGCGGTTTCTTGAATCATCACAGTAAAAGTGAAACACGTCTTAAGTGAACTTTCTCAAAGTTCTTCGAAAATGCGAACACGCGATTTGATATACAATATGGTATGTTCAGGGTAATTCCTGTTGCGTACACACCTGTAAATGCCATGATCGAAGCGATTGTAGGAGGCAAACATGATGATGGGTCCACAGCCGACAGCCAGTGAGAAGAAACACTGAACGACCGCCTCCTTCCAGACGATGGGATTCAGCAGCTCGCCCCATTGGGGCTGCAGAAAGAATATGATGCCATCGACCGCACCCTCCAGGGTGACAGCTCGGCCCAGCAGCGCGAACAGCACCACATAGGGGAACAGTGCCAGGAAATAGGCTGCCTTCCCGGAGCTCTTAACGCCGCGCATTATGACCAGAAAGATGACAACCCATGAGACGAACAGCGCAATGGTTAGCTTCCAATCGGGTGCGCCGATGCCGTCAGTTATATCCGATTTCTCCTTAATAACCACATTGCTGAAAATGATGCATAAATTTGTTATTCAACACTTAAGCACTGCTTAAGGCATTCTGGCTTTTAATTTCTTTGCAAATTCGCTTGTGCATCGGTTTTACTAAAAAATGTTTCTTTGTTTCATTATTTTGATTGAACGTTGAAATATCTCATTTGGCTGCCAATTTATTAATTGATTGATAATATTAAGATGTTAAAAATACTGAAATATTGGATCAGTTTTGGTCCCATTCCGGTTTACACATTCGACTCAAATTCGCCAAAGTAAACAACTATTTTTCTGTTTCAGTTTTTTTTCTTTAAGTGCAAATTTCTGAGAATTTCTCTTGTCATCGATTTTGTTTTCATAGTTATATATCGTTCCGGCTTACGAATTCGAGACCAAAGCGCCAAAAAATTGTGAGTTGAATTCGAATTAAATATCCTTATTTTTTTTGTCTTTAATTTTGAAGTGAAGCTTTTTCAAGCAATTCGCAAAGTTTGCTTACAAGTATTTCGCTATTTAAGTTCTACCTAAATTGCATATTCCGAGTCTTGGATGGTTTCTACTTACAGAAAGTAAAGCTCGGAGCTGCTCTGCAGCTTGGTCACATTGGTGGCGCTCTCTGTCGCACGACTCAACGCAGAGCTGGCATTGGTCAGCAAGGTCTCCACATATTCCGCTGGCCTAGAGTTGACACAATTGACCCAATCGTCCCGGCAATACGACCAGGGCAGCTCCGATTGAAACGAGACGAACAGATAGTAGACGGTCAGGGCCAGCAGGGATGAGTAGTAGGTGATAATGCAGATCGTGGCAAAGGCTTGGCCATAGCCCACGCCCATAAATGACGGGCATATGGACCAGATCTTAACGGTGCCCTGACTCGTGAACTGTCCAATTATCATCTCCAGATAATACATGGGCTTGCCTGATGACATACAATCTTAATTAGCGCGAGATTCAAAGCGGAGTCAAGAAACTTACCGATCAGAAAGAGCACTATTATATAGGGTATAAGAAATGCGCCGCCTCCATTCTCATAGGCGGTAAATGGAAAACGCCAGACATTGCCTAGGCCCACGGATACCGATATGCAGGACATCAGGAATTCCAGGCCGTTCGACCAATTCGTGCGCTCAGGCTCCTTTTTCTGTGCCTCCTTCTCATTGTTCTAGCGGAGTTGATAGAAGCAAAAGAGGAGCAATATTACGAGTTGTTTATGATATTTTTTGATTGATTCGCATATATATATCATTTCATAAGCTCCACTAGCGGATACCATAATCACCTAAAAGAACACACACTCCATGCTTTATGCTGTGCTCCTTCTAAGGGAAATAAGGAGGGCCCACAATATATATATTTTTAATTCCTATAGACTATAGAATAACGCGTATACCAAGTTTGGTGTAAATAGCTGTAATATGCTTCGAGTTATGCTCAAAGAAACAATTCTCAAAATCGATATTATGGCAATAGGAGTAGAGATATCGAAAATATAATAGACTCGACTAGACTAGACTAGACTCATACTTATATATATTCGAGCATATATATATGAAATTTGGCTTTTGAGTTTTTGATCAGTCAATATATAATTCATGTAGTCGGATATGCCCCTCTCTGCCTGTTACAAGACCTTACATCCACTTTTAAGAATTACTAGTTCCTCTCGCATCATATCGCATGCCATCTGGTATTCCAGGTTTATCTAGTTCCTATCATATCATATCGCATCTGGTATTCCCATGTTAACTCACAAAATTAGCTGGAATTTGTTTTGGCTACGCTTTGCATAAGCCCATCGCCCGCCAGATGTCAGTCAATGTTATCGCTGCTAAACATGATACATGATTTATTTAGTGCTGATGTATTGTTGATGTTTGCACATAATTCCCCAGACTCCAGGGTAAATATTTGGGTCCATTGCCTGGGCAAACACTCGGCATGCCAGTGCGTAATATTTAATTTGAGAATCTTTTCCACACAAGTCAGCAATGGGCTGGGATTGCGCCAAGATAACCCACCCAAACACATAGCATATATATGTTTTATTATCCAACCATGACACGATATTTGGGAAATGTGCCAAAATTATAACATTTAGCTGAAAAAGTTACACAAGACTTGCCCATGCACTCAATTGAAGCTGATCGGTCTTTAAAAAGTAAACTATTTTGGAATATGAAAAGAGAAAACGCAAATATCGCATAGATGGAAGAGTTTATCTATATCAAGTCGACTATGGATACTGATAAAAATATATATATATATACTTTATGGAGTTGGAGATATCTCAAGGGTATCTGCCGAATTCTAAAGATAGTTTCTATTGCAACTATAGAAATAGTTCTGGGCTTTGGTTATATTTGTTTTAAGCCAAATAAAAAATTGTGTATCTACTAAGCTTTATCTATAAAAGAATTGAAAATATGAGCCGAGATAAATCTTTAAGTTGCTGCAGAAATAAATGTGCAAGCGGAATGAAGATATTCTGTCGCCAACTGTTAGCTGGAAAACTTGGGCTTGCATCGGCAGCGACCTTGGAACCTTGGAATAAATGCATGCTTAAATAACTCGGGTATTTCTGAAGCGATTCCCATGAAATTTTCACAGCTTAAATATGCCACTCAAATGTGTGAGTATATCCAGGTGCAAGGATCTAGCTACAAAAATATATTCGAAAAGGGAAGCCTATCTGGGCATACAATACGAAAACCAACATATCCAGTCTGGTATTTTGTGGTTATTCAAATCGATATTGTGGAAATGGAAGAAAACTTCAAGATATGATAAAAAGAATATAAAGATATATATATATTCAAGTTTAGCTCCATGCCTGTTACATACGTTGGCAACAGAACATCATACCCTCGAAGGGCTCAGGGCAATAAGTGATGTCATGTAAGGCACTCATTATATCCAGCCACATTTACGATATTTATAACTTAGTTGACACACAGAACATTAACAGCTCTAATTAGCTAGCCACTTTTGGCATGGAGTACTTTGCGCCATACCATAAAATGGGGTATAAATTTTAACCGTGTACTACCAAGACGTTTCTTGATTGAAGCTGAGCCGCACAGGAAATAAATCGCAGTTAAATGATTGAGTTATTTGATTTATGAACTTAACGATAAGATTACAAATTTGATGACAACAACAGCTGTAAAATCGCGTGACAATTAGTCAGGGTTTGTCGATAGGAAAATCAAAACAGAAAATCCATAAAAGAAATTACACAGTCCCGGGAAAACTTTGCCCGAACTTTGTTTTAAAACTTGGCCAAGCCGTGCCAAAAGTTGTGCAATTACCCGCCGCATAGCACAGCACATCAACATCATCCCCACAATTCGCACTCAGCCAGAGTTAGAGTTAGGAATTGTTTCTAAAACACATTAACTAGGTAAGAAAACAGAATAACAACAATAGTAGCTGCGGATCGTATCTAGAAAGAAAAAATAAAACAAGATTTGACTAATGCACTTATAACTATTTATAACTAAGTTTAAAACAAGTAACCGTGGTCTGAGGCAAGGCGGCGCGACTAGCAGCTACCCTGTAATCAGCTCACATTAGGCGGCGCCTGTTCTTCTGCCTCTTGCACGGCTCCGATCTGTTAAAAATTGATTCTCTAATAACTACTTTAACTTTTGATATGAAAGTCAGTCAGAATTGCATCGAAATGATGTCTTTTATAGTTAACTTTTCCTCATTTAATGGAACTGATCTCTCTCTCTCTCTCTCTCTCTCTTTATTTTTGAAGATAGATGAGCTGATGTTGCTCTCATTTATTTGAAGATCGCTGAGAAGGTTATATTGAAATTGTAAACAGAATGTAGATCATTACGATCTCTCACCCTAACCCCGACCCTCTCTCTCTCTCTCTCTCTCCCCATATATATAAGTATATTTGTGAAAGCCCACAAGATATTGCAATATTTTCTGTGCCACGTGCTGTGCCATTATTTTGATAAGGCAAACAAGCCGAAAGACATTCCACTGTACATTCAACTTTAGTAATAAAAAACACAAAAAAAAAAACAAAAACAAGGTTCATTAAAAGTATTTATTTATTTCGTTTTTCGGCATCTTTGGCAGTTAACTGTGGCCCTTAAATGTTCAAGATAGTATCTGTTACAGAACAAGAGAGACGGTAAGATCTATAGATCTTACTAGATATTTGCACAGACTTTCTGGGAAATACGAAAAAGCTGTCTAAACAATTATAAAACATATAAGTAGTAATACATTATTAATAACTCGTATATGAGATACGTTTAGATACCAATTTGAGTCATATCGCATGTGAATATGTTCATGCACCCAGCTGAACTATTGTGAGTCGATTCCGGGGTTTCTGTTTGATTCATCAACTGGTTTTTTTGGATGCTTGCAATGCAATGCAAATGTGTTTAGCCAAATGGCAAATATTATCAATGGGCATCGCCGTGTGTTAGGGCAAATCCAATTGCAATTTTATGGGAAACTTGTGTTTTACCTGTAATACCCTGTACCCAGCGCTGCCAGCTGGGTATATTGCTGTTGTGCATGCTCATAGGGCAATAGATGGCTGTAGTGACATTTATTCTCTCGCCATCTTGCCTAGTATTATCTCCACTGTATCACAGTGCAAGAGCCAGAAGAACAGGCGCCGCCTAATGTGAGCTGATTACAGGGTAGCTGCTAGTCGCGCCACCTCGCTCAGACCACGGTTACTTGTTTTAAATAGTTATAAATGCATCGTCATAATTGTGTGCATTAGTCAAATCTTGTTTTTCGATCCGAATCGCTGTTGTTGTTATTCTGTTTTCTTACCTAGTTAATGTGTTTTAGAAACAATTCCTAACTCTAACTCTGGCTGACTACGTTCTGCAAGGCACTTACGATGAGCTTGATGAAATGCATACTCCCTTCAATATGAATGAGAGAGTATAACAAGCTCAGCTTGATTATATAACAGATATTTTCTGAATAGACACACACAATCAATGATTTACATAATTAAAAGGTTGCATTTGTTGCTTTTAGTTCGATGGGGCAAATAAGCAATGAGATCTCCATCTCTCTAATAGGTCAAGCTTGATTCGTGTTTCAATTATAATAATAAAAAATTTCTATGTGAGCTCATAAAAACTAAACCGATTCATATAGATAAGAAAATAGAATGAGAGTTAAATAGATAAACAAATCAGATGGATTAACTAATTTGTCTAATATATATAATACCTATATAAATATATTTGAGCTGATATGAAGATAAGCGCAGAGAACATCTATTTAAACAGATTTCTTGGCTGAGACAAAATGATTTATGCTAAAAGTAAATCGTAGAACACAGATCGTGATATATATGCATGCATATAAATTATAAACATTTGACATTCTAGAGCTCATTAAAGGAACTGAAGAATGTCTCAGAACAACAACAAGATCGATTTGATGGAATAATATTTATTAGGAAAAACTTTAACTTTCATTTCGATTTTCAGCTCAATTTAGAATCTATAACATGTATGTGTTTGTATATGCCTTACGGATCGTAGCAAGAATTAGAAATAAAGAAAAAGTACAATTTTCATTTCACAAAAAAAATGTTGAATGTCAGTCTATAGATATACAGTTACTATTACTATATAGCCAGAAGGGGCCATTTACAGTTGGCAACGAGGCTCAAATCAAACACGAATTGCAATAGGATTTGCATTTCTATATGCATTAACATGTAATTCACCGTTTACCTGAGATCAGTTATTAGCACGGGGAAACACCTCCGTTTAGCGTGTGCCAATGTGGCCCAAGTGGAGAGCAAACCGATTTTTCACTGCCTACGTATTCTATATATATGTATTTGCATAATCTGCTTCGAGCTGGATTTTTATGGCTGCTGTTAGTAGAGCTAATAATTGCATAGATCTGGACCTGTAACTGGTTGAGTTCGGCTCGTGTTGTTGTTGTTCTCTTCTTATATAGTATGCTATATATTTTCGGATTGGTATTAGATAAGTTGGCTTGATTTCGACTGAGCTCGTTTTCATTTATCGCTACCAATAAACGCCTTTTTCACTCTTGTTTTGCAACAACAAATGATGGTACATAAATTAATAAAAAGTAAATTAAGCAATCCGCCAGATAAATTGTCGCATGTACTCCATATTCTTAAGGTTTCTTTCTCTTTTTATACTCCCCGTATACATATATTCAATCACTTAAGTGTCGAGAGCACTCACAGCGAGCACTTGAGATCAGTTCGGTGTGGGCTAATTGAAAATGCAGCTAGCTGTTCCGGTGACTGGCAAGGGCAGGTGGCAGGTGGCAGGTGGCAGGGGGCAGGGGGCAGGTGTTGCTTGTCTTTAAGGCATGCGGAACTTGAACTACATAGAATCTGGAATTGGTACTCACATCTGGCTTGTTGTTGCTGTTGTTGTTGTGCTGTGTGCCGGCATTGGCTCCGTTTTGTGGCATTGTCTTTAATTCCATGTTGCAAGGTGAATTTACCAATTTTCCACCTGTTTGGTATTTTTTTTTTTCTTTATGCACTGCCGCACATTCAATAAGCCAAGCGATGAACAAAAAAATAGTTAAATAATAATAATGCAATTACAACAAACACCGCGTTAAAGTTTATAATTTTGTTCAAGTGCGCTTTTCTTTTTTTTTTTGTTTGTTTGTTTTTTTGTTAATGAGTCGCAATGAATAAGCGACTGCATGTGATAATAAAAAACTCAAATAAAAAACATACACACAACAAAACAAAAGCTAGTACCAAAGGCCGTTCGAGTCGCGCTTATTTATTTATATATTTAATTTGTTTTATTTTTTATTTTTTAGTTTTTATTAAGTTTGTTTTTTGTTTGTTTGTTTGTTTGTTATATTTGTTAGTTTTTGTTGAGCTGTGATGCCGTGAATGCCACGGCTAGAACTGAGGCAGCAGCGAGCTTTGAGCGCTTTAAGAACCATCACAACTAGCAAAACCCCAACAGAACTCAGCTCGCACAGGTGGAGGGCACTGGCCGAGGTACAGGTACAGCTGCAGGTAGAGGTACAGGTACGTTTGTACGTACGCTTGACTAAGTGCGTTGGGTACAGCTAAGGGTACAGGTACAACTTCAAAATGTTTTATCAGCTCCCCATCGTCATCATCGTCATTGTCAATATCGCCATCAATGTCGTCGTCATCATCATCATCATCATCATCATCATCATCATCATCGTTCCATCAAAACCAGCCAATCATCAGCCACACAATGTAGCACCTGTTACAGGCAGAGCAAGAGAGGCGCTCGCGAGCGTGAGCGAGAGCGAGAGCGAAAGAATGGAAGGAACAGTTAGCAAGGGAGAAGGGTAGCGAGAGTGAGAGCGCGCATATAGCGGTTGTTCTGCAAACAACTGTGATTAGGATTATGCGAGGTGTTTCAACAAATCGGAGCGTGACGCAAATTGACGCATTTCCGCTTAACTAAGAATTACCCTCATTTTCAGTTGAGCAATGCGCGTGTTCGTGCTCGACTAGGAGTTACCCTGTACAGTCGAGTCTAATGAAAACGCAAGTACGATCGTTTTCTTTTACATCTACACACCCATTTGTTTGTTTGTTTAGCTGGCTCAAAGCAGATAAAGCAGATATGCACGACTAGCAGCTACCCTGTATGAAATTCGAAAGTTATCAGAACATGCACATTCGAGACCAAATACGTATGTTAAACGTATATGAGTCACTCAACAAAGAGTTATGTGACGATTGATGATGTGATAGACGTGTGGATACCCTGTACACGACTCCAGACCTGTCAAACTTGCTTTGTGTTCTTATATATTACCAAGCACAGGTTACTTCCGTGTAATTGACACACGTGCTCGACTTTAAGATACCCTGCATAAGCAAAGCATACGTATATGTATTATCTAAATGTCATGAGCATGTAATGCTCGACAATATGTTACCGTATTCCCAATTCTAGCAGAAGCAAACACATATTCGGAACAACATGCACATACCTAAGCATAGCTTATTTCAATGTCATGAATAGCCATGCGCGACTAAGAGATTCCCTGCATTCAAGTCTTATGTGCCCAAACACGCAAACGTTTGCACTTTCATACCTATCCTCGACTATGGGATACTCTGTACTTATAAAACATTCACAATCGTAGTCGGATATATGCATGTATTTACAACGATGGTTAGTCGAAAAACATGCTTAACTACACAATACCCTGCACTCGCACATCTGTTTGTAGATTCTCGTGTTTATGGTTAATAATGCTCAAAGTATCGGAACATTCCCTTTTCGACTGCAACAAACCTCATAGAAACCCTTTTAATTTGTATCATCACTTTTTCTTCTCAAAATCTTAATCTAAATTTTGACCAAAATAAACAAAAAATCAAGGAGTTACATCACGTTTCTTTGATTTGACGCAAATTTTGACGCAAATCGACAAAAAAGCAAGCCATTGTATCGCGTTTTTTTTCTCAAAATCTACATTTTTACCCAAATCGACAAAGCAACGGGTTGCATCATGTTTTTTTTTTCTCAAAATCTCAATCTAAATTTTTCTCAAATTCTTAATTTTTACACAATTCGACAAAAAAAGCAAGGGGTTACATCACGTTTTTTCTCAAAAACTAAATAAAGCAAAAGCATTACGATTTTTCTCAAAATCTTAATATTTACTAAAATCGACAAAAAAAAAAAGCCGACATATCTTCGCCATGCTCAACGGCGGAGTTATGTCGTCATATCTCCGCGCGGAGATATATGTTTTTTAGAGTGGCGGAGCTATGTTGCTTCAAAACGACAAAATCTCGTTATTATCAACGGCGGAGTTATGTGACAAAATTTACGTTACAATACGTTCTTTCTCAAAATCTACATTTTTATCCAAATCGACAATAAGGGAAGGGGTTTTTTTCTCAAAATCTTAATATAAATTTTGACCCAAATCGACAAAAAAAAACACAAAATTCCAGATATGAACTAGCTAACGAAATAATTTACTATATCCAGTCCATACTGTACCCGGAGCCACAAGACGTCAGAGACATTATAAAACCAATACCCCGATAAATATTATGCAGCTGTAAATACCCAGATATACAAACATTAGAATTCGATTTGTTACTTCCCCATGGGCGACAGCAATAATCAAGTTCTCTTGAAGCAGTCATATCTATGGAAAAGAACCCGACTGCAGACAAAAGCAATTCATGCTCGCAAGAAGTTGATACCAAGTTTTTATGAGCATTGTAAACTTGACCTTTGCCACGTCTATTACGCACACAATGGAGATACTATTTTAGGCTGTTTCGAAGTGTTAGTAAAAATGTACGTTTAGCCCTGAAGTGTGGATAAGTATTCCAACATAAGCTTTGTTTCCCCTGCGATAGAATACAGGAGCCAGAGAAAGCACAGAAATGTTTGATTGATTTACAGATAATGTGACAATAATTACATTAATGACAAATCGCCAAGCGAAATGTTGTCATTTTCAAGCGTCATATCTATGCGCGATATATATGTCGGCGGAGTTATGTCGCTATAGAACGGCATAGTCTCGCCAACGTCGGAGGCTATGCACTGCCATAATGTAACGGCAATGATAACATTACAGCCGAGTTAACAGCGTCACTTTAACATTTCAAAAAGTGTTATAGAAGCAACGAAATAAATCAAAATACATATGTTTAGATTTTCAGTAGTTTTTATTTTTAATATAGTTGCTTTAATTTATATATTTAGTTAATAGCTAAGTTTTGTAAATTATTTTCACTTGAATATGTCTATAAATTAATTCTTAATTGTATTTATCGTCTCAGCATTACTAAATTAAAGAACGAAAAAAAATATATCATATAGAATAGATAATAACACGATAACTAGATGTTAAATTTAGTTTTAATATGCGCTCTACATCAATTTATTATGCATGTCAGTGTGTGTGTGTGTGTGTGTGTGTAGATGTATGTGGTTGTGGGTGTATTTATGCTTGTGTCAGTTAATCTGTTATCAACAATTGTACAAGTGAACAATTTTTTACATCGAGAAAGTAAAACACTTAAAAAAAAAAAAAGAAAAAAAGAAGAAGAACTTTGACAACTTGCGTATAATTGTAATAATAATCATAAGCATAATCATAATAATAATAATCATAAGTAATATGTAATGTGTAATTTATATGCTACATATAAGTATGTATGCTATATATGCTAGATAATAAGTGTTATTTTATATTCAAAATCAGACAATGAAAACAATCATCATAAAGCGCCGCACTCTTTACAATTTCTACAAAAATTTGCACTACAATTTTTTTTTGTTGCATTGTTTTTTTTTTTGTTACATTTTTTTTTGAAATTTTTTTCGGTTTTTTTTTTGTTGTATTTTGCGTGAGCGAATGAATTGCAGGAAAAATGGGGGAGGAAAAAAAAGGATAATAAAAAAAATAAAAATCATAAATTAAACGGGAAGAAAAACAAAATTATTTAAAAACAAAATAATATTAAGAACAAAATTACACGCCAAGTCTTATAAGTGGACACATATATAGATATATATGTATATAGATATGTATAAAAATATACATATATATAATATAATATATATAATTATCATCACTTGTACGTAGTTTTTGTTTTTTGTTTTGTTTTTTTATCAATTAATTAAAATTAATTAGCCTTTGGGCAAATGAATTTCTTGCAATTAAAATATAAGAATCAGTTAATAAATATATAGCGTGTTGTGTATGTGTGTGTGTGTGTGTGTGTGTGTGTGTATGTGTGTGTGTGTATGATACGATGATATACACATACATATACATATTTTGTTATTGTTTTCTGCAATAGAGACACATATTCAACTCATAGCAAATCTTTGTTTATTCTTTGTGAACTATACATATATATATATATATATATATATATATGGGGCTGTTTAGCTGATTTTTGCTCCGCTTTTTCTCTTTGTTTTTCCGTTTGTTTTCTTAGCTGAGCGTAAGTATTTTGTTTTTCTTTGAAATACATATACAAAAGGCATGACATTTTTAACTCAAAATTTTGTTTTTTTTTCATTTCTTTTTGTTTTAGTATTTATTTTTTTATAAAAAAAACCCTTTGGCTTGCGCAGAGAGCAGAGTTGAAGATAAGCAATTATCATTTACATTAATATGTATATACCCTACATATATATACATATATATGCATATATATATATATACATATATATCTGGTATCCTTTAACGAATATCTGCCGATTTGTCTGTTGTGTTAGTTCAGTTATTGTTTCTTTTGCAAGGGGCGTGTCCGTCTTTTATCTAACCTTTTTTTTTTTGTTTTTCTTTCTCTTTTATATTTTTTTTGTCACTTTTTGTTTAAAAAATAATACACATTCTTGAAATATGCTTGTACTATTCGTGGATTGAGTAATATAATAAATCAAAATCATAAATAAAATTATTGCTATATATGACTGAGCCAAAAATAATTCTATTTTTGAGTGAATATACTTTTGGGGGGGAGAGATAGAAAGAAATAACTGTTGAATTATATACAATTGACAAGATTTGTTCAAATGAAAAACTTTCTGCGCTTTATGCTATTTGGGTTGGCGAGTTACTTTTAATATATAATATAATATACTTTATATAAAGTATTTTTGTTGAAATTTTGACTTTTTTCTTTATATATATATATGTATTAGAAAAAACCAAAACAAAAAAAAAACTATTTACACTAAGTATTACTTATTATCTGAGTATGGTAATATCTTAAGCGTTTCGTTGGTTGTGTGTGTGTGTGTATGTATGTGGGTTTGAGTGTGTGTTAGTGATCTGTGTGCGTGCGTGC